GACATACTAATATACATAGGTACAAAATCGTTTATACTCTGTCTATTTAATACTGCTGAGTTACTTATATTCCATTCATTAAGTTAGTATTATGCCTATTAACTAGTTATATCTAGGTTTGAACAGCTGTAGTATGATAAAATAGAAAACTATAGAACCTATTATATACTGTGACGCTAAACACCATTCATCACATGGCACATGCATTGTCGTTGTAAAAAGAGCGACATCTGATAAATACACAGAAAACCATTGTAGACTAGTGTCTACATTGGTTTTCTGTTGTTTAATATTTATAAATAATAATAATTGTGATTTATGTACCTATAATATATTCCTGTAATTAAATCATTCATAATAACATTATTACTAATGTGCCAGTATTTTTTTTTCTCAAAAGTTAACATTAAAATTAAAAGAAACTATATATATTACTGTTCAAGAAGTTAAACAGAAATCTCTAGTTTATATCTTCCGATCGGTGATTAATAAGATAACTAAATAATGTATTTATACTTCCTATATAATCATAACCTTGAAATTATATTGTAGACGCAGATAAAAATAGTTTTATAGGCATACAATTAACAAGGTTGCCTATTTGTTTTATGTATCCATTATTCTAATCAATAAGGCGATTGAAATTGTATTTTATTGTCCTTTATAGAATATAAAATATACGTTTAAAGACAAAACTAAATAAGACACGTTGCTCCATCTAGTGTGAAATAGTTCAGTCTTACCTTTAAATTTCCACGAGACGATATCTCACACTTTTATAGATGGCGTTCTAGCAAAATAAAAATATATTGTTTTATCACAGATAACATAATATGTTTTATACATTTTCGTTGTGAACTCGAGATCGTAATATTCTTTTATTTGGTATCGATTTAATGTAACAGAGGTTTTTCATCTATATTAGTTAGCTCTTGTTATTTTTCATCTTATTTTATTCATAGTGCAATGTGTAAAGTACGTATTAGGTACATATATATGTACCTAATATAGTGATAGAAGTTTTAATGTTAAAACTTCTATCACTAATAAATAAACATTTCTTAAAGACATTCCAATTCTTGAAATTTGCAATCGACGCAAGCCACTATGTAGTTGAAGTTGCTATTTATTGTTTTGCACTAACAAACCAATTGCAAATTTATAAGTATTATGCAATCATCCATATGTGAAAATAAACTTACATCTATAACAGCACTGTTTATCTAAATCTCAAATAAATTTATTAGTTCTTATAAAATGTATAATTGGAAAATTGGAAATAAAGAACACAAACATTCGAAATATTTCCCGCAATGTTAGTCACAATAACTATCTTAATTGTAACGTTCTCTAACTACACTATGAGTAGATATATTATTTAATTATAATAATATAAATGTCAATAGTGCGAATATTGACGCTTATATTATTAAAATTTATCCATTCGTATGACGTAGTTGTATAAAATAATCAAGTCATAGTTGGATTCTGCGATGTATGCTAAATTAATATTCTAGATATATATGTACAAGTCGTGAGTTTTATTTATAATTTACTATTTTTAGTCATATTAATATGATAGGTACTAAACGGTTGACCTGGCTGATTTATTATTGGAAACGAGTGCTAGGAATAGACACGTCTACTTGATATAGTCTAGAGAAAACCTCGGCAGGTAGTTCAATCTACCGCACTGTCCGAGACCACTTAGTCCAGGTTCCAGCGAAAGGTGATGAATTCCCTGTCAATGGCGAGCGGTGCGATCGTCATAATTATTTATTTACTGTCATTTTGAAAAGCCATTAACCATGACAATATGAAAAATGCAATATTCTATAAATTTTTAATACATTCACATATATTCTGACGACCTCGGTGGTCTAGCGGTCTAGCACACCGCTTTACGTCCGATGGTCGCAGGTTCGATTCCTCGCACGGCACAAACATTTGTATTCACAACTATGATTGTTTGTATCGATCTGGGTGTATTCTATGTAGATATAATATGTATGTATTTACGAAAAAAAATATCTATGTATTTGTATCAGTTATCTAGTACCCATAACACAAGCTTTAGCTAGCTTAACTTGGGTCTAGATGGCGCTGTGTGAGTTGTCCTGAGATTATAGATTATTAATATTAGTATATAATAATAGATATAAGTTTTAAGAGTTACTATTCAGGCATGCCAGTGAAGAATGACAGGATGAAGATGAATGAGGGTCGTTATCCCATCGTGTCGAAATGCAACCGTCGACTATTACATCAATTTTCTAATACATAGTTGATCATGATACATGCATTAATAAATAAATAGTTAAATTGTGACTTATAATTATAAAATTTTAATTGGAAGTCTATTATGCGTTTGTTATTTCATATACATCTATACATTGGTCTATTATTTTAGATACACTGAAATCATATAGATACCAACAATAAGTAGGAAATATTGTATAGCATTGTAAAAATAAGAAGCCGTTTTAACGTTATAATTCCATATGATTCGCAAAAACTCAAGAAGTCACTAGGTTATTCATAACCGTTAAGTGAAGTTTGCACAATTGTATGGAGCGCGATTTATCGAAGCGTAAAGTCGGTCGGCCGGCCGGTTAACTTCCTAACCAGCAGTTAGTCGTTACCACAGAATACTGTTGTGGCTATATACTGGTCGTTACCTCACGGTTTAGCTTACCGTAGCGTTGCGATGCCATATTACATTACGATAAAATCAATATTATCGACGAATGTTATTTATTTATCTACATAAGTAAAAACAAAAATAATTATATTTCTTTGTCCTCTACATAAGCTTCCTTCCTATTATCATATCTTTCTACAAATCATCTAATTTTGAAGAAATTTAAGTAATTTAACTTAGTCTGTGTAGGTGCATCAGCGTCAAACTCTATGTTATGTTTTTGTTAATCCCTCAACCAATTGGACAAGTAATGGGGACAAGTTGCTCCATTACTGGTAATGCACCATGTCGGGTTGTCCTCAAGGCAAACCCTTGAAAACATTCGTGTTTTATTTCAGATGATGTGCTAATTCACCTGACTTCATGTCCCTTCTAAGATCCTTCACTGCTACACATGTATAAATAACCAAAGCGCGGGTGACTGCATCGTACCGTTATCATCCATAAAGAAATCCCTCCCTTCTATCTTTCAACTGTTTGTTTTAAAATTAGCCATACACGTAGTGTATGGGGTGGAAATGAATATAACATGGATACTGTCTGTAAATCAACCATCATACAACAAACACCATGAAGGAAGCTCACTAGTCTTTCATGTTTTTAGATCAGCACAACTATAGGTGACACGAATTTCCATAATATAATAAAAGCTCTACGCTTTCTGTATTATAATGTACTTAGAAGTAATGTTACATTCAGGCTGCAGATAATGATTTGGAAAATGATAAATATAGATGTACTCATCAAGAGAAGACCATAATTGTAATTACAGACTTTGTTTTAGGACTGTGTAGATAACAATTTGAAGACAAACATTACACCAAAGTGTTAAGAGATGCGTATAGAATAAATAATTTATTTTTTCTTCTATAGAGATATTTTAACGGTGTGTCACCAAAGTGTCTATAATTGAGCGCCCACGTGATATAGTCTATCTTTAAGTCAAATATCATTAGGATCAGTTTAGCCCTTTAGTCAGACATGAAAAGGCCACAGACAGACAGTCTGATCTATAATAAGAGTATGAATATCGTGCAGACATAAACTACACATTCATACAAAAACTAAAGGTTGTGTGTTGCTGATTCATTCTTATGTTGAAAGTTTTCTTTTCGAATAAAACTTAATTGACAAAACTTGTCTCTTTCGTAGCTGTCAAACTATGAAACCATAAAAGAATGAAAAATGATAGTTACACTTTCTGTTTACCTTATTGGTCTGTGGCCACAATTACCATTTTGGTGATGGTAATATGAAAACTAACCTGTCCTTCTGTGTGTACCTCATTGACCTGAGGTTATGATTAGAATTTGTAATGGTTTGAATACAAAACCTAACATAACCTATCTTTCAGTATACCTTATGGATATGTGGCCATGGGTCACATATAGGTACTATTATATATAGGTTTATATTATATATGGGTACTATTTGATGTAGTGGATAACTTTGTATATCTACTGTGCGTAAAATGTAATACGTTTCGTTTGATATTAAAATATCTAAATTGTTTCTTGTTGTTTATTTGGCGGAAATCTGTTTCATTATTTAAATAGGTCTGAGAATTGGATTATGACATAAAATGAATATTAATACTACAAACTAAAAACTACTACAAAGTGTTGTACTCTTGCGATAATAAAAACACTTTGTATATTTACCTAAATTCGCACGTCGCTCTATATCATTTAGAACGTATAAAGGGGACTAAATTCGAATCAAATATAAGTTTTAATTATATCCGAATGACAAATTATTTTAGTCATTCAGAATTTATATACTAAAGACCCAAGCTGTGAAAATCCGCAGTAGATTAAATACTTAATACTTAATGTATTACCAAATATTATCATTACAATAATGTGAAAATTTCGGAAAATGTAAATATCTCGATATTTTACAAGTCATGTATAAGTTTTTATAAGTGAACGAATAAATAAATTAATCTGCCATAAATATTCAAGTTACATTTTTGACAAACATTTGTTAATTTTCCCGATCATTTGCGTAAAATATTCTTTTGTTATCTTATCGCATTATTATATGCTATAGTACTATCAGCTAGTTAATCTGCTGTTAAAGATAGAGATAGGTATCATGATACAGTTGTGGTCACAGTGCTAATATTTAATGTGTTTGAAATTTTAACCAGGCGTTATAATTAATACATTATTCTTAAGTGTTAGAACAACACTAGAGAACAAAATTTAATTGCGTAGACCACAAAATGTCGAAAGAAAGTGAGCGCAACCAACACGCCGCGATGACTTTTGCTGACAGTGTAGTCCGGTACCTTTGCTTCAACGCTCGCTTCGCGCGAATTTTAAAATACGAACCGGCTGCATTCGAAATTTGAAATGTGTTTCTCTATTATAAATTAAAGAATACTAAGAACTGTACAAATATAAAGTGTTTTTATTGATAAAGCTTAAAAAGTTAATAAAATGGATTTACTTAGTGAGTCAAGCAGTGAAAACAGAATTTTAACTGCTCGACATATAAGTGCTGAGAAGACACTACCCGAAACAAACAATGCAGTTAATACCACATTATTGTGTTATAGTTACAGCATTCAACCAGACTTTGGTTCTTACCTAGCAGGTAGTAAAAGTATTTTTTTAATAGATAATAAGTTATGTATAGAACGCATGCTGAGCTAAACATGAGTTCAGGTCAAGGACGGTTGGTAACTTTCTCCAAAATAGTTAAGTTCAATCATATTTAAGAGTTATGAAATCACGTCTACCTATGGTATGTGCTCTAAGTTAATATTAATATCCGAATCAAAAATAGTTATAATTATCTAAATTTTAATGTAATTTTATTAGGTAATGTTTTTAATGTCATATTAAATATATTTCATTAGATGAAATGATGCAAGAAAAAAAACAATCAAGCATCTTGAGAGCTCTGTTCAACGGTGATGAGGAATATTGTGAAAGTTTATGTTTGAATGTTTGTTACTCAATTATGTAAATGCTGTTATCGGTAGATTATAATTTGTAGCATTGTTACCATATGGTGGATATTTTTTAATCTAACTCCGACGGGTATATATATGGAGGACCAACATTGGAGTCCTAAGGAATAGCAAACAATGAGTGTATGGTCTTACAAATTACAGCGCATCTATATTGTCGTTAATTTTTGCCGTAGATCTAAAGATCCGGCGAAATTATTCCGTCGGTATGGAATCATAACACTCATTTTTGGGGAAAGTGGGGAAAATTTTTCATAGAGACCAGTTACTCAAACATATAGCTCAGCAGATCATACTCATACAGATCAGCAGTTCAGTGGATTGGATGACCGGGTTTCTTCCAGGCTTCTCCCGCCTAAAAATATACATAACCACAGTAATCCTCGTCTCCACCATTATGGAGGTAAAACACATAACTCAAACTGCCTATGTATCATTGGTATAATGTGTATTTTCGTTGTGATGATTCAGACAAATCAAATCCATTAATCAATAAGAGATCGGTAGTAGAGACAATCACTCGTAGATAAACTTACAAACAATAAGATAAAAACACAACCGACCTTGTCCTCAAAATAGAACACCTTTCGAGAAACATGGTGAAACCCACAACGAATGTTGGAAAATTCAAAGGCGGATGTAAGTTATTTAAAAGAAATCTAGAATAAAAAATCCTAAGTGGATTTATTTATACAATGTGGTGTTTTACGCCCAATGTTTATCATTGGATAAAAGATAGTAAAATATATAGCGTAATACTGTAATAGGAAATATATAAATAAAGTATATATATATATATATATATACTTTATAATGTGCATGAATTATTTCCTATTACAGCTAATTAACAACATAATGATTGAAAGTGTGTTTATAACGTCTTTAAATTCATAAATATTTGAAATGTTTGCATTTTATATATATTTATATTGTCTAATTATAAAATAAAAGTTTTCTTTTATGTTGAGAATAAAGTAAACAATGCTTAAAATAAATTTCTATTATTTATTATAACTAATTCCATTTCTCATAAGTACAGTACCTACGGTAGTGCAACGACTCTACCGACGTTACCTCTATCTTACTATATATATCGAATATAGATACATGGGAATTCGTATTTACATACTAATGTAAGGATTATAAATCTAAAAAAATGTATATATGTTAAATTTTTATGATAAATAGATAAATGGCTAAACGTGTAATTGATAATGAAAGACATAAATATTGATTATATCACGAGAATGAATACAGTGTCTTTGTTTTATAAAAAAAAAACAGAAGCTACGCTACGGCTAGTGTGTCATAATTATATCACATTCCCAGTCTCATACATATTATCATAGAATTATATCAAATAATAATAGAATAGACACTAACACACTGTTTACGTTACATTGTGTGCTGATGAATGGGCCTTATTGTAGATACTATTACTATGTCTACGTTACATTTACGTTGTAATTATTGTATTATACCTAATTAATAAATATTACGTACTACATTAGGTTAATTATAACGTAACAGATAAGCTAATGTCAACTCCAATTCGTCTCGTGAATGTTTTGATGATGTAGTAAATTTTTACGTAAACTGATTACTAACTCGTTGTTAAATTCTGACGCGTTGATTGCGCGTGTTGTTTCGGCATAGATAAGTAATTGTGTGTAGATACCTATATTACTGGTCTGTGGTTTCAGTATAAAGATTAAGAAACCTAATGCAATCACTGACCTAATTATATAATTTATTAGCTATTCCTACCAGGTTAGTCTTCACTTTTGGTTGTAAGTTTTTTATCTTTTCTCCATTATACCCATATCTATCTACTTATTAACGCAGTGACTGAAAACTTAGGTGAAGGAGAAGGATAGCTTCAAAGCCAATAAATCTTATGCAGATATCAGAATTATGTAACCAGATAGGTACCTATTTTCAACTATATATTCCACAAAATTTATAAATTATCCGAAAAGTACAAAGTTATTGTTGCAACAAGGTTAAGTTTACAAAATTTAACCTTACGGTTTGCATTGACTTCGGGGTAAACTAGGTAGTTGATCCGATACCGGAAATGCGTTTACTAAAGAAGCAACTACTTTTTGATTAAAAATGATTAAATACTACCTTCATAACCTTTTTTCGTAATGGGGTTAATTGCAGGGCTATAGAATTTCACTTACATATAATTATTTTATATTCATATTTAAAAATTAGTTAATGATGAACACAAAAGAATTATGTCTAAGTCACAGTATTGTGATTTTTTGAAAGAAGCTCTTATTTTTTTTATTTAATGGTCCATTCAGTCTTTGTACCTTTTGAAATAGGTAATAAATATTTTAAACAAAAATAAAACGAACGCACAACAATATTTTGTAGGACAATGGTGCAGGCATGAATTAGTCAGGTAACGGTAAATTTCGTTATCATCTATTTAAAAAGCTTTACAGTCCAAGTTTCACTTAACAGTTTCTTCCAAACTATCCTATTTATGACTTGACCGACAAAACACAGGTAGGGTATATGTCTAATTGAATATTACCCTTTGTTTTCATCACTTTCATTTTATACCTACTATAGACATAACTTAATTGAAGGTATATTACTTAGTGAAATTTCTAAACTTACTCAGATGAACATCATTACAATTAGGGGCTAAGTAACAGGTAGGTATTATGTGAGTAGATAATACTTAATTGTAAAAGGGTATTTATTTCAATATATAATAATATATAGAATCTTACGCCCACTTCGGTTTATTGTCTCTTGAGATAAATTTATCCCGTAAGTATACCTATCATTACCCACAGTTACAAAGATAGGTGGCAATATCGAGGTCAGTGGTATTTAATTTCTAAATGTCCCCGTGATAATAACCGATGTGAAGGCCACTTGTAAATTAATTATATTGCCTTTATCTATGCTAATGCAGCAAAAAAGTGACCAGTTACATTAACGTTAAAATATTAAAACGAATAAATAAAATTGTATATGAAAAGTAGGTTCGAGAGAACGTAGGGACAGAGGAAATATTTCACGTTTAGTTCGTGTCTATATTTAACTGTGCCAATGTAAAAAAGTTGTAAAATATTTTATTACGATGATTGTTAAAGTCATACGTAATAATGGAAAAGAAATGTTAATAATCCTTGACGGCCTCAGTGATCTAGCGGTTTAGCACACCGTCTTATCCTGTGGTCGCAAATTCAACTCTTCGCACGGTACAAACATACTCACGAATACTTACAATACAATACCAATCTTACGATTGTTTATATTTTTATGTATATTATGTATGCATTTAAAAAAATGTATAGCTATCAGTTGCCTAGTACTCATAACACAAACTTTGCTTATAGCTTGGGACTACATAGATGGTGCTATGTAAATTGTCCAGGGTTATTATTATAAATATAATTATTTTATTGATTTATGTTAGCTACATACAAAATAATAGAAACGAAATAATAATAAATAAATAATATCTACCACTTACGCATAGATATAATTTAAAATAGAAAAATTAAATAATATAATGTTTCAACACATAAAATATTTACAATAATTTTAATAACATTTGCCTCAAGAGTGACTCAATTAAATTCAACGTATACATGGGAGTTAGAGACTGCATAAAGAATCATCAAAAATATACTTAAAGTTGACATAAATATCGTTTAGACGATATGTATAAATATAAATGTGTTTTAAATTTATAACCTTTTTTGACTCGGTTAATGACGTAAGCATGATTTTACAATTTTTGATTTAGTTATGATAAAATACATACTTGTTCAGTATATCTAATAAATATTAATAAAAATAAATACCTAAGTATTGACAGGTATGACACATAATATTGTTTGTCTGCATATTACTCACAAACTGATAAAAATTTAACTATATAATAAAAACATTCATTCTGTTTACTTCTTTTTAATCCTGATATATCAATTATTTTGTAGATTTCTAATCGGTTAAGTCAATACAGATAACATTACATATTAAGAATAAAGAAACTTAGAAAAAACAAATATCTTATGTACAATAATTGTCTGGAAATCTGTATTAAAAGTTTTATTGAGCTGAATGAATGTGTTACGATATACCGTATTAAGAATTAATCAAATTCAAATTTCTCGTCAAATTTCTTGATTCTTTTATACAGAAAGAGGGTAGGTATCACACGGTCTGCCGTCCAACGGTACCTTATGACTTGTCGACAACTTAATCAACAATGACACATGATATTATGGTATATTGCTGAGATAGACATAATCATCAGACATGATACTGACAAGTTAGTCACTTGATGCTAGTGATAAAGAAAACTACAGAAAAGGTGATTGCAAATAATTTTATTTGATGGTTCAAAATATAATATCCCTTTATATTTTCTATATATGGACATAGAAAATATAAAGGGATATTTTCTATATATCTATCTTTGTAAGTGTTGTAAGTTATATACATGTATATATCAATCCATAACATAACTTAACATAACTTTATTATACAACTACAACCTAAAATTAAAAAGCTTAAAAAATATAATACAATAACTAAAATATATTATTAAAAGGGGTCCCTTTAGGCAAAGTTCCGAAGATACTGGCAGCGTTCCCTCTTTGAATAGCTAGACTAATTCTTTGTCCAAGGTAGCTGCCAGCTCTTCGGTTTGTCAAATACGTTATAGTGGTCTTTTTTATCGGTGTTGTTCAAGTAGTATATATGTACGTATATGGTATAGACGTCAGCTGGGTTGTTATCTTCGCTACACCCAGTATGTAAGGATGTAGTACGTTTGGTACTACATAACAAATATTGACAAATATTCACGAATAAAAAGAAATCACGAATAAAAGAAGCTATAATAATATTTATTAATTTATTTCTAAGAATTAATGAAACTTTAGCCTCTAGCCTCTTCTAAGAAATAGGTAAGCTTGACGATTATGTTTGCTAGGGTTAAATATGGAGTGTATTTATTCTACTATGATTCGAGATTATAATATTCGTATTAAAAGTGCTTTTATTAGAGTCGCAAACATTTATGAGCTATCTTAATCTAGCTTTAATCGTGACAGAACTCAGAATACAGGATCACACCATTAAAGACTAATCAAACTACATTCGTTTTTGGCCAAGACAAATCGACCCATTTGGTAAACATTTTTTTGTTAAAAAATATTTAATACTCTACTTGTGTGTATAAAAAGTACAGTTGAATTGTAGAATGTCTAACTAATGTGCAACCTCTTTATAGAAATAGTTTCGTTCGTTTTGTAAATAGTGAAGATTCAAATTTAATAAAATGTTTTTCTTTTATTTTCATTCTAGCAATACAACCGTACGCGTGCGTATTTTGGAGCTGCGGTGCGTTAGTATTACTGGCAGTATGCGCCTTATACTTACTGACTGTTCGTTCCGCGTCACGATTTTGGCGCGAAGGAATCAACAATGTCGCTGTAGTCGTGGCAGTATATCCAGTAAGTAAAAACTAGTAGTAACATAAAGAAAATCAAGGGAAATAATGACACATCAAGTTTAAAAAAGTATATAACACTAATAATCAGAAATATGGAGGTGGTAGGCTCGCCACCTGTACTTTGGGTTTAAAATATATTGAGCGAAATGTGGGCATATTAAGTATTGTGTTCATAATAAAACCTAGTTTCCTTAGAAAATTTTTACTAAAAAATATATACAGTTAAGTAATTGGACACAACTATAACTGAATACCTGTATCTAATCTATTTCAGAGGATTAACATGTCATTACGTATCACATCATCAATCATAGTTCAGTCTAGATATATCCTACAGACACCCAAAACTTATAATTAATTTTCAATTCTGAGTCTATTTTAGGTGAGCTTAACTGATTCGTATTTACTTACGTAAGCTAAATGGATGAAGGTTACTCTTTTTATATAAATCAATATAAACTGTTCAGAATAAAGTAGAAAGTATAGTAGGCTTGTAATAAGAGTTATGGTTACGCTTATTAAGCATGATTTTGTCTGAAATGAAATAAAACAATATTACAATTAAGCTACGTCCCTATGACTGATTTAATTTGCTAATTTAATTAGCCTAAAAAGATATTTTAATGTAAAGCTTGTGTTATAAAAGTAGTAGGTATATGTAAATAAAGTAAGTGGGTAATGTATAGTAATATGTAGTACTAGGTACTAGGTACTAATCCGTACAAACAAATATCACCCTAAGTACACATTTGTTGTTACTCATAAGTTTTCAGTAACTCATTCTTTTTCTTATAACCATTCGTCATGAATTAGATCTGATTACATCATGAAAAAACATGTTTATTTATTTTGCATTCTTTTTAGAATCTTATTATCCAATAGGGCCCGACACTATTATTATAGTACATAAGTCTTTTCTTATTAGCGTAAATTCAGGATAGTATATAAGGATTATCCATTTACGCCTGTTCGATTATCTGTAGATAGACTTTTGCGCACGAACGAATCCAAATCAAATTGAATATGTATAAATAATACTGATTTATAGTAAATATAGAGTTATACATAATTAAATTGTAGTATGAACTTTTAAGATCAATTTTCTATAACCAATATTTCGTTGTGTATAGATACAAGTAAAAATGGTGATATGATGTGTTCGGTACTGAGTACAACAAGGGGACAGTCATTGTAGGTCAGGTCTATAGTAAAGATATTAACAGCTGACTAATAAAATGTAGTCATCGCATAGTTGATACAGGTATTCTATCAAGAAAACAAACTTATGGTAATGTTTATAGATATGAATTTATTTCATTGTTTGTTTTTATAATTAAACAAATATAAAATATACTTACTATATAGAGCGTTAACTATTAAAATGTATACATAACTTAAATTTGTACACGCAAATAAGATTTATTACAATTATATATAATAAGTAGGTTATCTCTTTAAAATCCGAGAGTTGTCTGAGTCGCGTTGTGGGTCACTGTTGCATAAGCTGTGTTGGTAATGTTTCGTAATCTGTGACGCGCCGGTGAGTACTATACTCCTCGTACGAGTGAATATCTTTGTTTAGTCAACAAAAATAGTACTTATATTCTATAAGTAAAATTAAAAATAATATAGTAATTATTATTATATTTAAATAATGTAATTTTGTTGTTGTGGGTTACCACATATTGATATTTTTACGTTAACATCTCATAAGATTTTTGCATCTTGTTTACGTAATGCTGTCCAATAACTGTTACATGTGCAAATAGAAATTCCAGGTCATGTAATAGTAAGTAGGTATTCATTATTCAATGACATATATATATACAGAATAATACCTCTATTACCTATGACCTGTAATATTATGAACCATAACTTTTACAAATTTGCAAGTTGCTTTTTTCTTTAGGATTATTATGAAACGTATTAAAAAGTGTTTACGTACGTAAAAAATATTTTTACTGTTTCTTTGTTATGGTTAAGAATTATATCGTGCGGTAAATGATTATTAAAGAGGAAGTTACGAGTGTCGTGCCATGACATGATTAATAAGTCATCACATTGACCCCAATTACGTAGTTTTTTTATTTCATTTATGGTTATGGAATATTTTTAAATCAGATGATAATGGAATTGTGTTCACGCCTGTGCTAACGGTATATGCTGCCAGTAGGATCATAGAATAACGACAAAGTCCGACCAGTTAGCTCATCGTAAATCTTGTAATTAACCACTATGGTTTCCAAGGGGAATCTCATGAAGGTCAACTTGATGGAGCTACATTATTAGCAATTAGGTCAACGTTCCCATTACTTACCACCTCTGCATCCTAATTATGAAATAATTAATCTGCGGTAACCGTTAACTGTATATGATGGTGGAAAATGTGATATGATGTATATAAATGTAAATATATGTAATATGATGGAAAATATGGCAAACCACTAGGTACTAGTACTTTGTAAGACCTTGTTGAGGTCAACCTGAGCTGGTGATTGAGTGCAATGGGGCCACTAAATCGCAACGTATTATTTAGGTGGTCTTTGATGTCTTTTTCTACTGATAATGATAAGAATAGCAAGTCTCATATCGTCCCTGTGTTTATGTTAATAGCATACTCATTGTTTATTTGCAACATGAATGTGTAATTTGTATGCCGTGAGAGAAATTTTTAAGTAACAAGGACAAAATAATGAAAATTCATTTATATTGCAGTATTTAGTTTGTTGCAAATAGTTAATTCTGACTTTAATTGTGTCAAAATTAGTATAAGAGCGATGTAAAAATAAAGTAGATTCAAAATTTATAATTACATAAATCAAATAAAGTTTAGGTTATCAAATGATAATAGTATTTAGCATTTAAAAGAAAGAATAGTTTAATATTCCTTTCGCTATTTTTTGCTACTAAGTTTGTTTTGTTTGGTCTGTTCCCCTATTCGAATACACTCAGTCTTCTGAGAAAATATTTTGAAACATAAAAATTACATTGACAATCACCTCCTCTTATTTCATTGCGAAATGAGACTCTCGAGATGAAATGTGAAATGAGCAGGTGTGTCAAAATTATTAGATAGCGTTATAATAAGCTGTCAACAGAAGTAATTAAAATCACCTTGTTTGAAAATTGCATCTGTAAGTTAAATCCAACTTTATATTTTCCAAATTACATTCATCTTTAACCCATCTGTGAGTGTGTAATACCACAGTCCTACTAATATTTGTACCTACGACAGTTCCATTTATTTCAGCCGTCAAGTAGTTTCGTTTTCGGCTGCAAGGAGGTAGGTAGGGTTGCAGGTATTTTACTGTGTACTCTACAGTACGCAGTAAAATTGTACGCAGTAAGGGGCATGACATCTTAGTTTCCTTAATGGCAACGCATGAGTGGTTTCACGGGTGTCGCATGATAAAGTGATGTCCGTAGTGCTGTTTATGTACATATATTAGGGATAGTTACCACTGATGGGCTGTCAGCTTGTTTGTCATAATTGCATATAAATTTTATTGTGTCAAATGAATACTTTTCTTTACAAGACAACTACACACTGAAGTAGGATTTGTGTACATAAAGAAAATTATTTTAGTACGTGTATCGTATATGATAATTAGATCACAGTTTCATTGTTTTTCAACACACTATAATATATTAGTCGGTATCGGTAGTCAATTCATAAAAAATACGTGCGTTATAAACGCAAATAATGAAGTTTTCTATAACCGCAATATTAGATTTTTTTTATCAAATCTCAAACTGACGCACAGCGCCAGCTAGTAGGTACGTAGGCAGCGTGCTGATTTAAAAAAGTAGAACGGCGGGAAACCATCATTGTGCATCACAGTTAAAAATCAACAAAACATAATATTATGATTGTTTATTCTGTTTCATCGTAAATGTGTTAAAAATGCCGTACAATATATATACGTGTGTATTTAACACACGGGCTTTATTACGCCCTCGCCTTCGGCTCCGGCTGAAAATCACCATAGTGTGTGTTACCATCGTAACGCATTTATATCGGAAAATAACTGGAGTCTCATTATTTCAGGTGGTAACAGCGGCAGCATTAGTTGCTATCATAATTCCACGATCTCTAATACTATGCGAGGCCATAGCTCAAGAAGTCGTTATGATAGCAATGTACCATTACTTTTGTACGCTTATAGCAGAATGTGGTGGCATTGATATGCTTGTCAGGTATGATAAATTAATAAAGTTTATTTGATAAGTACCCACTACTTTTTCAACATTATTAATTTAGTTGCTGGAACTTGCAGCTTTGGAATTGTAAACACGGGATCAAATTCCGTTTGACTTGATATAAATTGCTGTTAAGGTTTATAAAACAGAATAGTTATTACCAATACTTACCTGTGACAGGTAAGGTAAGGCAAACCAAGATATGGTTGAGACGTTTAGCAAGCCACATCGGAAGGTACAAAATTTCAAAACGTCGTCTACAAAGTGGCTTGTGGCTTATAATTGTTAAGAAGGTATAGTTATTATATGATAATAAAAATATTTTATAACTGAGATAATTTAAAAATTTAGTACCAGTAAACACTGAGATATTACTTTACGATGAAATAATTAAAATCTGTTTACAATCGAAGAATATATACTTAAAAATAAATAGTAGAACCTACAATATTCTTTTATCGAAGACGGTTCTGAGATCATTTTATTGATTTTATTTTTTATTACAGACGTGCCGGTTCAGCTGAACATCGTATGGAGACCAGGACTTTGCCTTGCTGTTGCTGGCCATGTTGTGTTATCCCAAAACCACGTGTAGAGAAGTAAGTAATCTGTCTTCCCGTCAATTTCAACACCGGGATAAATTTTTTAGATAAAAATCATCGCTCCTAAGAATATCCTTCAATTCTTGTCCCTAACGGGCCTAGACAGCGAACTCTAAAAATAGGACGAGCACAATAGAGCTAGGGTGTATTAGGACAGCACCCCAATCCAAAGGCCCCGGAGGTGTGCGCGTGTACCCACACGCCTCCACAATGGAGTAGGGCGAAATAGGGCGCCCTAACCACAAAACGAGATGGGGCCTGCCCTACAACACCTACAGGGCGGGCCGTCGCCGTCGGAGCTGGGGTAGAAATGCACTTGCGAATCCCCTGGCTCCGGCATAGGCGCTCGTAGGTACACCGTGTGGTTTTTTAGTGGGTACGAGTCCCACACACCACCTCGCCATCCCTCCGGCGGGGTGACGGTCTTTTGAAGATTTTTCCACATGTTAATAAAAAAAAAATAAAAAAAAAAAAGGTGGCAGTGCTACGCCTTAATAATAAATAGGTGTTTGAATGCCGCGGAAATTAGTAGATACGGTAAATTTTCCGTTATTAGCAGAGATCCGTATTCAGAATTGAGATGCCAAAAGATGGGTATTGTTAACCTATAGATACTAGTAATATAACTAAGATATGTTACCATCATATATTGATTGTTATTGAAGTAGTGGTAATTAATATTCAGTGAGTAGATAGTAGATATATTGTAGACATGGTGTACCTAATTATTTATTTTTATTTTTAAGAAATGTGTTGGCTTATACAATTTTGTAGGTACTTGTTTGTTAACAAAGATATTAGTCGTTACGCTCTTGGGTGGGGTTTTTAATTGATGGCTTTCAATTTGATTGCAGCCCATTAGGGCTTTATGGTGTCATTCATTAATGGTTTTAAGTTGCTATTTCTTTACTAAGTAGAGTGTAATAAAAATGAATGTATTATATTATCAGTAACTTAATCTAATTGAAATAAAGGCATTGCAACAAAGTTTTTACGTATTTGAAACAAATATACTTTCATTTTATTATCCCAGATAAGTTAACCAGAGGTATTACAACATTTAGTCCGGTATACTTGAATTCATTTCGTTAGAGGGCAATAACGCGTCGTATTTCGGAAATCTCTCTTTATTATTGTTCGTGTTTTCTTTATTTTTTGTCAACCAGTGACCGCTGGGTGTAAGCCTGACAAAACAATTCGCCACAATGTCACTTATTTAAGCATTTCATAGGTAGGTAATTTTCTGTCTGTTTTGTTTATTACTTGTGATCTGTAGAAAAACTATTTAGGCTCTTTTTATTCTCTTTGCTTGTATGATTTTTTACTTTACTTAACTTGAATGTATTTGATTATAGGCAAAGTCTGGATTGGATACGCAGCCTGACGCTGCAGATGTCGGTGATTCAAGGAGTTATCTACGTCATAATCCTGATACTCTGGGCAGAGGACATGGTAAATATATTTTAGTTCATTTTCCTACATACTTTTAATTAGATATTATTATTAATACCTCCTATATTCACATTCTTCTCGCTCTACTAGACGATTCACTCCCATGAGAGTGTTTTAGACTGTCACGTTACACATTAGTCCAGTCTAGTTGAGAACTTGAAAAGTAATACGTAAAATGACAACATAGTATGTACATATATAAATATGTGTTGGAAAGAATACGTATAGGTATATTATTTCCAATTTAAAGTTACGTGATTAGGTGAGTATGAAAATTAAATTAGGTTAATGAAAACCGTAAGAATATCCAAGGTCTATGGTAAATGAAGATTCGTATTGTTAGCCACGATGACTTCATTAATTAAGATAAAACGGGGACATAACCTTCATTGAAGTAATAGTTATCCTATTCATAATAACGTTTATTTTGTTTAGTAATGATTGTGTTTGAGTGCTAATTAATTCTAAAGCTAATATTTTTCAGCTACGTCTTAAATATTTGTTAAAGCTTTGTTTTTGTATAAATGCATAACTTATGTATGTGACATCGTGTTTATTGTGTAGATAAATATAATAATCTGTACCCACGGCCCGCGTCTTTGTTTTTGCGTACTTTGTTATCAACAGTAATATTATAAACAGGAAAGATTTGATGTCAAAATAAAAAAAATACTTAACGGATTACAACAAATCTATAGTATGTTATATATCTAGTAAGTTAACATAAATTATAATCTTATTGTATAAACCTATGTAGAACCGCAAAATTGAGGTAGAGAGGTGCGTTTTAGTCTACTCAGATATAAACTTCGTGCCTAGTTCAGTTCCCATGCTCAAATAATCACATATTGTTTATGAAAATGATATAAGACCTTAATAAATATATGTATTATTATAATCAAGAAACATTGCACTAGTGTTAAACCGAAATTACAACATAATTAAGTTTTCTGCGCCCAAATAATATATCTAATAATGAGGATTTTCGCCCTGCCTATTGAAACAAATAATTATAAAACACCCCTCATAACTAACCCGAACCAAAAACTTTATTAAAATATTGTCAAACTGATTTTAAGAGATTCTGAAATATAGTTTATATATTTTTCTGAAATATAGTTTATATATTTTTATTTAGAAGCTTGTAAAATTTTCTGATGACTATTTGAAGAAGAATCTGAAAATTTGGAAGATCATGAAGTCTATGATAATCTACGTAGTATGTTATGAATTTTTGGTTGTTGAAGAATGCTAAAAGCATTAATTTTCCATTTTGAACCAAATTAAATCTATACATAGGTCGTCCGCGTAGGGTGTCTGTCTCGTATACTAATTTATCTGTCAAGTATTTTTCTTATTAGGATGTATTTCGGTTAAAGGATGAGATAAGACAGTGAAATTATGGGTACACAAGGAGGAAATAATAGTCAGAGAGATACCTAGTTAATACTATACTATACTAGTTCATAGAAATAATCAGGTATACTGATAGCTTGTTTGTTATAAAAAATATACCCGTAGATTTACATTATTCATGTATCATTATTCAGATGCTACTCATTGAAGCTACTAAATACATCCAAGTATTTATCGCGGCTTCTATACTCTCCGGTATGTGGGGGATCATAATGACCGTAAGGTTGGCGGAGTCGATGGGTTTGAGACCCAAGGCGAGGTTCTTGGCGCTCCAGCTGGTGCTACTGATAGTGAAGCTGCAGTGTGGAGTGGCTAGAGCTCTGCCCGGAGTATTCAACTTACCCTGCATTATGTCTCTTCATCCCTTTGTCTTTGTAAATTGTGAGTGTATATTTAATTTTATCATATTTATTTTATTTCATAAGTAAATTAATATAATTATTAAAACGTGAAATTTATACGTTGATTTTTTTTAGAAAAGTGAACTTCAGAAGTACTGCATTGATTTGAGAAATTCTTTTCATTATTCTAAAGATATTGTCCAGAATCACACAGACTACATATATGTTAATATCTTCTATATATATAAAATTGTCGTGTCACAATTCAGTAGGTCTGAGAATCGGCTATTATGTATTTTTCACCCCTAAGTGGTAAGGGATATCCACCCCTAAATATGTTTTTTTTATTTTTTCGATATCATTTTATTTTCATTTTATTATTATTTAGGATTGAAAAATGCATACAACCCTAAATTTTCACCCTTCAAGTATAAAACCCTATTTTTTAAAAGCGATTTTAATTTATATGGCAAACCAACGTTTGCCGGAACAGCTAGTACTATATATAAAAATGCTTGCCACTGTTGTTTAATAAAATGCAGAGCAGACCATGTTTGGCAAGTAATTTGGAATCATTCAGATGTCGGAATGGCCTTGACTGACGTATCGTAAATTATCATGTTTTTCTAATCGACGTCGTAGCATTAGGGAGATGTAGAGTAGTGTATATATGCGTAAGTCACTCACGAAATTCTAAATCAATAAAAAATTGCGTTAATTTTGTCATTCGTTTTATTATTTACTATGACATACGCTAAGTAAATAAACACTATATGTGCCCACTGTCTGTAGATGACATCAGAATCATTAGGTCATTAACATTAAGTTGTATAACCTTCATTTTGTAATAAATTAATCTTCTTATGTTTTCTTTTCAGTTGTACAGAATTGTATAACAATTCTGCAGATGTTACTGCTCTCTATATGGGCGTGGAGATTGTACAGTGTCCCTCCAGGAAAGGTGGTCGATAAAGTACAACACTCAGTTGTTTCAATCGTGGAAGATATATCCGGCGTATTCGATGTTCGGGCCGTTAAGAATGGTATAGATAATAAGTCGTTTAAAGAAAATATATAAAATAGCCAGTCTTTATTGTAGACTCAATTTTTATAGTACAAACCTGTCGACAATGGAAGGTTTGAGAAGTGAACAAAGTTTTAGAAGAGACATACAGTTTATTTTTACAACTATAAAATTATAAACATTTTTCTAAAATGTTATTTCTTCTAAATTACTACATTTTATTAATGTAGTACTGAGATAGGTAAAATAAAGATAATTCAAACAGTTTCTGATATTTATCCCAATTATGGCAGAACGTTTAAAGTGTGAAGTTTAATTTTATTTAACTTTCTGCTTACATTTTGTCTCAAGGCTAATTGCTAGACAAATTGGGTACAACCGGACAGGACATTTGCTAATATTGCCGCCGACATTGTGTAAACGTATCCTACGGTTTACCACAGCTTAAATATAAGATCATGATAACAGCTCGTGAACTATAGATAAGTAGATTAAAACTTATCAAACAAATAAGAAATGTAATAACTACGTACATAACTATTATATTATTTGGTGGCGTTATGGGTTCTATATTGATGTTATTCTCTAAAATTTTCTACCAGTGACATGTCTGAAAATTATAAAAATTTCTTAGTCAAAGCTGATGGGCGCTTATATTAGACGCTAACTACCTGTTTAATTTTACGAAGTGTTCATAGATAAATATTTAGTCTATAAGCCTGGAACATACTTAATAAACATTTGTATTTCACGGTATCTAATTATTACGATAAAAATATTTTAACATAAAACGTAATTACACTCAATTGTAAATTGCACATGCATATAAAATTTGTACCTATTGATGTTAACGAATTATTTATGTATCTCTAGAGATATATTATTTACCATTTAAACAAAACGTCAATTGATTTTAAGAATTAGGAATATTTACAAATCCACCGATCTTTACATATCTATCTATAAATTGTAATACTAATTACCGTGTCTATGTCTACTTTATTTTTATTAACATACTTTCCGGAGGGGATTACTTGCTAGTTAACATGTTAGCTCGACTTATGGAGCTAATCCTACTCGGAAACCATTCCTGGCTAATTGACTTGATTTCATTCTCATCTTATCATCCTCCACTGGTGCTCTAGCAGCGTACACTATTAGCGCAGCCGTGAGCACCATTCCATCATTAGAAAAAAACATAGTTCTGGATTAGTATAAAATTTACTTTTAAGTAATTGAATTATTTGATTATTATTCTTTTAGATAGATAGGATACTGCAAGTTAAGAAAATCATTGTACTTAATTATAATCAGCATTGAAACGTGTAATTCAAATTTCTTTTCCAAATGTAGTAATTTATGTATTGCTATCTAGTGAATATTAAATTAAGTGATAGGTATTAAATTAAAGCCGTAATTTTTCTTTGAATTTTGGCAATATTGATGTACCTGATTATAATTTTATTATAATTAATTCTTAATTATGTTTTTTTATTCATAGCTGAATTTCTAATACATTTATTGTGAGACGAAAATGTAGTTTTTATTATTTCTAAATTATTACATGCGAATCAATTAAACATACATTAATTATGCTTATAAAATATGTATATGAAATAAGAATTTATAACACGAGTCATATTAATTTAATCATCAGAGTCGTTTCCATCCATCGGAGTTTTGTCATCATTCTCTTCAGAAGGCGTGCCAGCGCGCGAATTTTCAGAACCATATATATTATGTAGTTCCTCTAATTTGTAATGTATTTTTACACCTTTTGTAGTTGTTTTGTTTACCTTATTGACAAGAGATTTTGTTTGTTCTTCCAATCTTTTTAAACGTATGTCACGTGCGGCAAATCTTGCTTCGTGATCGATCTCACTGGATGTTGACGGCTGATTATTATCGTTAGTTGCTATTGGGATATGTTCTTTTGGTTCTGAATCGTTATCTTCCTGTGTAGGCTGAACTGTCACAATGGATCCAGAGCTATTTAATACATCAAGATTTTCTTTATTAGTATCAGTGTCTAGAATCTCGACGCAACCAGATATTGGATTTTGAACTTTTTCATCTTTATCTCCGAGACTTTTATCTTGTTCCTCATTAACTTCCATAAATGATTTCAAATCTGCTTCAGATGTTTCTGGTATTTCGTATAAGGAACATGATGAATTTGATGTGGAATCCGAAGTACCATTAGTGAAATTATTTGATATTGTGTATTCAGTTACTTTATTGTCTTGATTAGGAATATTAACATCTACCAATTTTGTTTCAATGTGAGTATTCTGATTTTCTGAACATATTTCATTAATGTGTAGATCTGTTTGTAAATCTGTACCGTCATTATTTATATCAGAGTCAGTTACCGCGTCAACATTACTAATACTTGATGAAGGTCGATTAACAAGTTGACTCAACGTGCTGTTTATTTGTTCGCTGAATTTAGTAAGGTTATGTGTTTTCTTTAGTAGGATTTCACTATTTTTTTCTAAATTTTCAAGTCTTTCATCTTTTTTAGCAAGTCTTTCATTTTGTAATTTGATGTTTTTCAATATTTGTTTAGGATCAATCATTGGTGGCTCGGTGGATGACCCGATTTCTGTAGATCGTCCAATGTTTTCTTCAATATTTCCATCAGTACTATTTGAAGCAGCATCTGCAGTTGTAACTTTAATAGTTGTTACTTCAATAGACGAATCGTTTGTAATATCACCTATTTCATCTTCAGTCTCCTCACTGCTTTTAACACTTTTAAGAAGATCTTCATTGTGACTGTCATCTTGATTATCCAAAGGTAAATCAGCAACATCAAGCATATCACTAGCTGGATCCTCTCTTTCAGCAACTGGATTAAAGTCCGTACTGGAATCTAAAACTGTTTCAAAAGATTTCATATTTTTTTTACACCTTAATCGCGATTCTGTTACATATTCACTTTCATCATTGGACCCAGAGGAGTCATCTGAAGGTCTTTCATCGCTATAACCACTTTCGGCAGAGTTGTTAAGTGAAGGCGATCCAGATTTCGTTTTTCTACTAGAAAACTCTGCTCTTAATGTTCTCCAGTCTCTTTCTGATTGAGAATTTTTTTCACGAGCCTGAATCCATTTTTCTCGACAATATTCTAGCTCTTCTTTTAGTTCATTTAGGAGTTTTCTTTTTTGTTGTAATTCGTATTTCAATATTTTCTCATGTGTATGCAATTGATGATGGTGTCGGCGTAGTCTTCCAACAACATGCCAAGTTTTACTCAGTTCAGCAGTGACAAGGCAAAGTCTACGTTCTTGTTCTTCTAGACGGGTTTCTAAATGACCATTAAGTTGTTTCATTCTGTTAACTTCTTTGATGAGTCCAAGCTTTTCAACAATTAAATCCTGGAAATAGAAGAAGCAAATTTAAGATTACTTGTATTTTAATTTGCATTTAAATTTGTGTGTATTTTGACTCGCATTGGGTAGCGTAAATTTTTACATATTCTGAGAAAAAATTTGGCTTTTAACCAAAATATGCTAGTAATGTGATTGTATTTAAAAAAGTTCTTGCGGTGTCTTTGTTTTCCTGATTTCCAAAAATGAATCATGACACAAAAAATCTGTATACGTTGTATGGATTCTGTATCTGTGTATGGATTGTAGGTGCAATGACTTACTTTTAATCTAATATAAGTTTGGCTAACACTTGGCACTAGTACAGGCCCCGATTTGGTTTCTACCGATTTATAGCATGTCGTGACCTTTTCTGGCAGGTTTGCATCAGTAACGTTTTGGTGACTCAAGAGCTCCATTAACACTCTCCATACTTTTGGAAGATTTTGAACAATTTCCTCCGGTGTTGTATTCGATGCATTTAAACACTCTATAAGAAAAAACATGTATATAAATTATGGTTTCTGTATTATGTTATGACTGACTGTGGATGATTATAAGGGTACAATAAGGAATATTAAATTATTTATATAAATACTGAGTTGAGGAAAGAGCAGATAATAAAATTAAATAACTACCTGTAACTTCGGTAGATATATCTGTTGATTCGGTAGATATATCTGTTGATTTATCGGTTTCTAATTCTTCATTGATTATGCTTTCTTCACCGTCATCTACTTGACTTATAAGTTCCAGAAGAAGTTTAGGTAAAGCTGTAGATGCTTCTGATCCATTTTCTTTTTCGGCCATGTGAGTTAATATTCCATGATTTTCTTCCAGACGATGAACTAATTTGTCCAAATCATATTTTGTTTTATACCCAAGTAGTACTTGGGAAAATAACTGAAATTAGGACATCCTTAGAAAATATGTTTCGCAAAAAAATTTTCATCGTGAACTTATTACCGAAGTTTAGTACAGGTATGTAATATGTTATCTGTGTTTGTAGTAAGACAATAAAATCTTAAAACTCGTTGTATATACATAATGTATTTATTACTGTATTGACTGTCACAAAATAAAAAAAAAACTGTATTTTTAATTTACTTCGGTTTTTGTAGCATGGTAGAAGTAAAGATTAAAAATTCTTCGGTATCTGGAGTTCATTTTGTCAAGTAACTAAAAATATTTTGTTTGTATCTTAAAATTTTTAGTTACTGGGAAAAATTAGTAGTGTGTTTATTTAATTAACAATTACATGGATAATTAATATATGTATATTGTAATTATTATATGCGTGTGTAATTATTGGTATTTCTGGTACCAATAAGCACTTATTGCCTTCTTAAGTTAGCCACTTACTTTATTAACTACAGACATTTCAGACTTTAGTCCACGTGTTTCATCTTGAAAAGTGGACAATTGAGTGTTTTTGTTGTCGATTTTTTCATGCAACGTATCTACTGTTGCTTCTAGTTCTTCCACTTTATCAGAAAGATTTTTACACCTGTAAATAATTTAAAGTTCAAAAATTTTATTGTGACAAAAGAGTGTCATCGTCTAGTGGTTTACTACCCTGAACTACGCGCGAGAAGAGGTGAGTTCAACAAAAAAACTTGTTGTGTAAATTTATATTTACATTTACTCTTAAGTGAAGGAACACCGATAATAAACCAAAAATTAATGCGAAAAACGGTGCAAGGGTCTCCTCCTGTCACGTCGGATTGAAAATATACCGACCGAAATGGAGGCATATTAAGTGTTGCGTTCACTACAACATCGACAGATAACAATGCCTCTGATGTCCATTTGTGATATCAGTCTTGACGGTTTAGTACATTTTGTTTAGAATAAACAATAACTAGTTTAATTAATCATACTTATTGACTTCAGCTTGATGAAGTAATTTCTGCTCTTCAAGTTCGCGAACTAAGCCCAGTCTTGTAACTTCGGATAATCGAGCACGCTCTTCATATAAGCTGCGTAAAGTTCGAATATTTTGCAATTGGCGTTCATATTCTTGTCTCAGATCGGTGGATAACATATTTGTCTCTCTATCGGCTAGTGATCGTTCTATTTCATTTAGCTTAGATTTTAACTAGAAGAACAAAAAATCTATTAAGTTTGTCTCTTTTTATTGCCTATAGAAATTAACTTAACTACTGCTACTAAATTACTAAAGCACCAACCGTCACCCTTAAATAATTGCCAGTGTGAGTACCTCAGTCTGACTTATTTCAGCCATGAAGCAGTGATTTATAAAATGTGTTTCGATTAAATGGTTAGAAGCAGTGATACCTATTACAGGATAAGAAGGATGATATCTTAGTGCTACGGAATCGCAAAGCATTATTGGTATCAAGGACATCATATGACAATGTACGTAAATCTACTTCTGTATTTATATAAGTACATCAATTATTACGACGGTTACCATTTATCATCTACCGACCGGTCGACGGACAGCTTTTATGCCATTTCAATTACATAAAAAAATAAACGTCATAGGTTATGCTTACTATCCTCGTAATGACTTTAATGAAAGTTGCTGGACCTTATAAGATGGTGAAGTGATGGTATCTAAACTTCTGTGATATACATAGAAATGGCATCATAATTACACGAGTTGTGCACTTGATAAAACATTAATCGAGCTAGAGTGAGGTTGTACCTAACTTGGCATATTGTCAAAATCCGGTGCCAATAAAATAAATGTTCATGCCGACGGGGTTATAACTACGTCATTTCAGCATCAGCGGTCTCTGACCGGCATGGCACATGTAATTACATTTCAAGTAATTATTGTAATATTAAAATTCAAATTTGAATTTGACTGTAATGTAAATATTAAACAAATAAATAATAAAAAATATATATAATTATAGGTACCTCATTTAACTGTTGTTCACGAAGATTTATCATTGTTTTGCTCACTGTTACCACTTCTTTTAACGCATTAATATGTTTAATTGATTCTGTGTTTTGTGCATTTAAATCCGCAATATCCGAAAAAGCAGATTGCAGTGCATTGTTGGATTCGGCTAAATTTTTTCTTAAATTATTATTATTGGACTTCAATTTTTCAAATTCATCCTTCATTTGGAGTATTGTGTTTGTTAATTCAGAATTTTCTTGAATGTCTTGAAGTTCTTCAGGAATTTCAATACTATTTTTACTCAATATTTCACGCAGTTGTTTATTGCTCTCATATAACTGTAGTTTAGATTTTCTTTCTTTTTCTAAACTTTTTTCTAATTCTTCTTTCTCAGTTCTGTGTCGAGTTAGAATTTGTTTTCTTATTTCCCTCTTTATATCAAGTTGTTTGTGGAATGCAATCATTTCTTCTTCTTTAGCTTTTGCGCGAGCTTCCTTATCATCAATTAATTGATTATCATCAAAAGTATCATAGAATTCTTCAACTTCTTCATTTTTTTCTGTTTTGTTAATATCACATGCAATGTCCATTGTTGATTTGTCACTTAGAACGCCTTTAGTTGCACGTTCCCTTGCCGAAGCACTACTGAGTACATTTCCCATTTTGGAATACTTTTATAAACAAGACGCACTTTCATCCGGTTGAATTCAGATCAGGGTGCGCGATTTTAAAATAGGTAACGAGTAATACGTTTTAATAAGACAAAGAACTGTTGACTGTTGGATTAGCACGCGTATACTGTAAGGCAGACGTTTCCCAAAATAGTTTCACCGTCAGCTACGTAGATGCCACAGCCACCGTCGTGCTATCGCAAGTACATGTGTTCAATATTACCCGCCAACGCTGACCAGCGGACTTCGACGAATCTCTGCCGATATTTTATTTTTACTCAGGTTATTTCCGACAGGACTAGACTTTGTGTGTGCATTATTGTATTAAATAGCGAAAGTGACCTTCGCCTATGTAAAATAGACTAGTGTAGAATTAGTTACCTCTAAACTATTAATAATGCGTAATTTTACTTTTTGGTGGGGTACCTTTTCAGGAATTAACTGCAGAACGAATATTAACGAAATTTGAGGTGAAGATAGACTGTATTATGAGAACTGGACTCACATACTAGATAGAGATGATTACGATTTAACTATTGGAGTCGTGTTACAGTCCAGCATTTTAATAGTTCTATAGAATTTATATATTAGATAGTTTATAGAACGGTCACATTAGATTATGGACTAAATTATTTACTCATTAAAAATGGAGAAAATAATAGATGTTTATATATATATATATATATATATATATAAACATCTATATCATTCATATCATTCATATATTCTATTTCTATTTATTAGTGTTTGAACATTAGGTAAGGTCAGTGGTGGGAAAGGACTAACCATTTTCCATTCTTAATATATATATATATACTGTTAGGAGTAATCGGTATCTTTTATCTCATAAAATGCGGAATAAATGAAGAAAAGGAGTCGTATTGAGAACCACCTTCTATTTAATGTTGGTAGGTTGGTTGGTTGCCATCTAGCGACTGTTATATAGCACTACTAGATAATATAGAAAGCAGCGTATCATTCTGTGTTAGCGGTAGTTGTCTGTAGCCTGTTATACTAAAAGTTCTGGACTCACAAACTAGATAGAGATGATTACGATTTAACTATTGGAGTCATGTTACAGTCTAGAATATAAAGTAGTTCTATAGAATTTATATATTAGATAGTTTATGGAACGGTCAAATTAGATTATGGACTAAATAATTTACTCATTAATAATGATATCTTAGTACTTCAGAATGGCAATGCAAAATTGAGCAAGGTGTACTAGAGTTTGTGGTGTTATGTGCGTATATAGGCGTCAATTACTTTTCCATTCCAATTACTGAGCTTATAAAATGAAAATAATAGATGTTTATATATATATTATATTATTTTCATATATATACATTATATATATATATATATATATATATATATATATATATAAAGCAGTAGTTTTTTAAAAATACATAACTGTATCACAGATAATATAATTACATACCTGTATCAAAAAACTAATTAGACCAACACGATGCACAACGAAAATGTATTGTCACGGAATTTATTAAAAATATTGTAAAAAGTATGTAATTCATTACTTGAATTATACTACTTCTAATTATATTTGTATCACATCCTCATAGTTGATTAAGTCTAGATGTTTATTTACATTATAATGAAATGGCTTCCTTTACCTCTGATTATTTTTTCATAGCCATTTTTAAGCCTTCGTTTAGATCTGCATTAAACAGATTCTAAATAAGCAATAGAGGAAGTAGTTGTTGGACATAAAACTCCTTTGTTAGATTGACATATATTATTTGTACCTATATAAAAAGAGAAAACATATTAATAAAAAGACGACTGCGAATAAAATGGTGTTTCTTTATTTGCCCTCTGCATAAATAAAATCCCAATAGTAGTTGTATAACTTATTTATGTTAATGTCAGTAAAAATTGAGTGTTGCCGATTGAATGACAGTATGGGTATATTTCCTTTTGCCTTTCCTGAAGGATAAACAGAACCAAAAAAAAAGCAACGCCTGACATTACTCCACAATTCACAAGTTAAGTCAGTTTTGAGTCAGTCTATCATTTATATTACTAAGTAATAAAAATTTTCAGCTTTTCATCTTTTCAGGGAAAACCCTAATTACGTATACTTAAATCTAAATTCTAAATGCATTTTAATTCGTATAACCAATAGCGATATATTAACAATTAATCAATTTGGCTGTCTCTGTTATAAGTAAATATATCAAGTTGTGTGTAAAATTGTTTTATATTAATTAATTTTTATATAACGTGGCTTTTTAATGAATAATAGTTATTGCACTGTTTGTGTCACGTCGCACAATTTAAACTTAATCGTGCTATAATGTAAAATAGTCGTTTGTTGAGTGATGGATGATAGCAGTAAAAACTCCCCTTGTAAGGTAAAAATTATTTTCAAATTACTTCCAAATATAAACCTTCACATTTCATTAGTTTTATTTGGATGTTAATGATTACAATAGTCTTTTCCTTAATAGTTTTTATATACGTAAAAATATATAGCTGTGTGAATAAATTATATTGTAGCAGTAAACAAATTTAATGTTTTTTTTAATCTGTAGACATAGGTTCCTTGATTAACTATTAATAATAGTAACTTATTATCTCTTAGACATTTATCTTTTCCATTGCACTGTGCTTTTCTGTTATTATTTGCTAACATGTAGTTTCAGAGAAATACACTACAAGACAATAGTTTCACATATTAAATCTGTTTGTTTACAAGATTAAAAAGTTATATGTGTAGATTGGAATGTGTTTCATATTATCCAAAATCTTTAATTACACCCATTTTCAAATGATTAGTTGATATTACATTTGCAAATTATAATTGAATTCTAATGCCTGAACCTGCACTTAAATAGCTGAATTAAAGCGAGCATGAAGTGTCCTCTCTTAATTTATTCTTCCAATGATATATTTAGTTAATAATCTTTGCATGTCTGTACGAAGTGTAAATTAAAAAAAAAAAAAGTAGAATTAAAATTATTAATTCCTTATGTAATATTATGGAATGACTAGGAATATTAATACATATCCATATTTTTAATAATAGATTATGTTCTTATATAATTATATACTTATATATTTTTCCTAATCATTGTCTTAATTGGAAATAGATTTTTATAAAAACATGCTAATTAGAGAAAATCAACAAGTTATATATACAAGGTCGCATGTTGTTAAGATCAAATATTCTTAAAAAAGAAGATTTATTATCAAATAATATGTAACTTGGTATTCTGATTGTACCGATGTATCCATTAATATCTCCCGTTTTTTTAAAACAAAGTATATAAAAGTGTTTGATGTTCAATAAATAGGCATAATAACTAATTGTATTTTGATGATTAAATAATTAATCTTTATGTTTGATTGTAACAACTTATTAGATATTTGTTTATTCTTAATCAACATTATACTTTATATAACACATAACAAAACACTATGTGAAACTATTCAACATGTCCCTATATACACATTTGCTTGTTTGTTTTTGTTTTGATGTTGCACATTTGGTAGGCTTGCAATGAGGATGCTGAGGGTCTGCAGCTGCATGCCGAAGTGGAGCATTTGCGGCAACACCTTGGAGAGAGAGACGCACACATTGTAGCCATAGAGAGTGAGTTCATCAAATGCACAGCTAGAGCAAATGATTTAGAGGAACAACTTGATACTTGGAGAGAGAAATATGAGAGGTGCGGCTTTTATCAATATTAATTAGGAAAATTTTTTATTTATATAGCTCTCAATCAGCTCAATAAAAAGGCATATGAAACAACCAGAAACAAGTATTGTGAGAGTTATTATCTATATTGATTTGATAAACTCTACTTGTTACTGTCATGAGAATTATGATATAGAAAGTATTTACTTTATTTTGAATATTGTACTAAATTTAATAGAAGACAACTTCATAGTATGTCCCTTTGATATTTTTGATTTTCATTACTATATTACAGACTAATCTATACAAAGAAATAAATTTGAAGTAGGTTTTTGTTATTTTAAATTAACATTTTTTCACTAAATGCATATGAAAGTATATACTGTACATTACATTAAAAAGGTTACTTAAAAAATTGCCTGTCTATCTTTTTGTGCCATTTTTAGTCTCTGTCGAGATAGAGATCTGGGATATTTTGATATTAGTTTATATTATGGACTTAATATTGTTTTCTTGTAATTATAGATTGTATGACTCTCACAAGCGTGTACAAAAGTTAAATCAAGTATTAGAAGACAAGTTACTTCAAATGGTGGATAAAATGAAGGGAGAAAAGAGTCAGTTGACTAAAGATATTGCCACTTTATCAGTAAGGCTTGCAGAGTCAAAGCATAACTACAGCATGCTGCAAAAAGAGAATGTATGTATCTGTATGTTAAAATTTATGTTAAAATTATATGAGTACATTAAATAATAAATCCATTATTACTTTCAGGAGCGTTATAAAAATGACATGAATTTAGCAATCCAGTTGCTACAATGTAAACCTGATAACTTTGTATCTCAAAAATTAGATAGCGTAAGTAAAACATGTTGATTCAAATGCACTTGTAGACTCTTGTATACAAGATTCTTGATCAATTTGTTTTCTTTACAGCTTCCTGTTGATACACAGGCACGAGTTTCACAATATGTAATGTCGAAAACATCCAAGCCATCTAGTTCTACTCAGTCTAAAACTGGCAATGAAAATGATGCATTTGACACAAGTGAGTATGAATTCAATATTTCGGCATCCCTCATGTCCAAAATACTTGAAGACAGCATTCAAGATACTGTCACCAAACATTGTGACACCTGTACATGTTCTAAATCGCAAAGTAAACCTTTCTGTTATAATGACAGTTCTTATTCTATAGCCACACAAACTTTATTAACTGGAGAAGTGAAGAATTCGCTTTGTTTGAACTGTAATTCAGAAATAAAGTCTCTACATTCCAATTTAAGCATTAGAAGTATCTCACCACATGGTATTAAGCTTGTTGAGGATAACATATTAAACCATGATATTGCCAGTCCTCTATACACAATACCACAACCTGTTTCTGAAATAATCAATGATAGTTTTCAAAATGTTGTGGGTAAAAGAAATCTTAATTTTGTAATTAATGAAAGTAACCATATAGATGTTACACAGAATAAAGATGATCAAAATATTTTACAAAAAAATATCAGCACAAATATGGAACCAGAAGTACATCATAAGCTCTGTGATCGCACAAAAACTTCTATTTCTAGCAAAAAAAGTAGTAGTCATAGTGTAAGAAATGATGACTCGCTTATTAAAGATACTTTAAATGGAAAAGATCTTCATATCAAAAATAGATCTGGAGATAGTACTAGTCTCAGAAAGAACTCTCAAAGTTCTATGGGAGGAATGAGTAGGACTTCATCTATAGCTAAATCGACAGTAAGTACGCATAAGTCCAATACTCAAGTGGGACCTGGACCAAGATTTTGTCATTTACGTATGCAAGCTGGTTCTAAGAATATATTGCTTGACAATGCTGAACCTGATGTACCACCTGTTTTGTATAGGCGACAGAGTAAATGCAATGAAACTTCAATATTCAAAGATTTGAATGATGATTTAGAAAATTTTATCAACTTAGATAAAACCAATGATAACATCAGAAATGATATAAAAACTGATAACATTGTTGTAGAAAGTACACTTATTGATGTCCATGTTGATAGCAATAATAGAGATTCCGGAATCATTGCCAAAGGCACATCAATAAACCCCGTGTTATTAAATGTTTCTTCATCACCATTGCAACCCTTAAAAACCCATAATTTCTCCAATGGTTCCGAACATAATAACAATAATAATTCCCTAAGTATTGGTAGCCAACAAAATACTTCTGGAATCGATAAGTTATTAAGTGATTTTAATCCCGATAGTTGTAATATTTTAAATACACAAACAAATGAGGACACCAAAAAACATGAAGTTGTTACTCCTGTTGATAATCACAATGTTAAAATGTTCAACTTCGATCGGTATGAACAAAAAAAGTTAGCTAATCAATATAATAGACCTTTGAGAAAAATTGACATGTCACAACTACATTCTATCGAAAATACTAAAATATCAAAAGATTTTCCACCGCAAAATTTCTCGAAAATAGATAAAAAGGCTGGATCTGCTGTAAAACTGACGCTCCCCGCAGTTGTTAATGTTTACCCTAATTTAACACAGACACACTTGAAAGTAAATGAAAATAAAAGAGTATTTACAAATGAACAAAGCACAAGTTCTCTTTCAAGTGACGACAGTGCCGCATTACTACAAAAGCAACAATTACTTAGGGTTGCGGAGTGGGTGGAAAAAAATTTAGAACAACAAAATAGCTACAATGACCCATTAGAGGACGAAGTTAGTTTCAATAATCGAGCCATGAGGCGCGATAGCAGACTTGGTCGACTTACAGAGACCCTAAATGAATTGGCTCTTAATATGCCACATCCTGTAAGTAAATATTCAAAATCTTATGCCAAAGAAGATCGCAATTTGTGGGTCCATGATAAAGTCGCACAAAATGAAGAAAAGCCTGGAGTATATAATTTGTCTAATACAAAAATTGCAAGCAACGTGGTTAAGGAAACAATATTCCCAGTGGAATATGATGAAGCAACAGTCACCGAAGTGAATAATGAGACTACAAAAAATTGCGTTATAAATAATCTTGAAGAGTTTGATGTAGGGAAAGAGATAAGGGCGGCATTTAAATCCAATACCGGCAAAGAAATTACTCCTGATGATTTGGCAAGAATGGAGTATAATGTGAAGAAATTTTTGTTGAGTGGACCTCACTGGGTTAATCCAGAATCTGCTGGGAGAAGCCGACGCACTAGTAGCAAAACTGAGACTGATGTATAATTCCACTGTAGGTTGAAGATAGTTTTAACTTTCTATGTTTCGTGTGTTCCATGGATTTAATGTTACTTAGGTAGCGGCATGGCAGTCTCTTTTTTCATTTTGTTGTATAGAATAGGGAATAAATATTTTATAGAATTAGTGAACGCGCTACTCGGCAGCCATATTGTATCTAGCAAATGTCGCATGAATTTATAAATTGTATGAAATATATTTGGCGATAGCTATATGTTTATGTGCTAGTATACATTTCACTTAATTCTGTGTTTTCTCCGAATTATTTCTTACACTAGTCATTATATATATCTACAATTGTAATATACAGTTTGGATAAGAATTTTCCGTATATCATGTATAACTTCCAATAAAATTCTGTACTTATAATAAAAATACAAAAACTAATTTTGTGATATTGATATTGTCGCTATTAATATGAAAGCCTACAAATTTGTTTTAGCTTTCAAATGTATATGTAGTTCTGCATTAGTTATCTCAGGAAGAATTTCAAGAGTATTTAAATTTGTTAAAATCAAGGCTGTCATAGTCTAGGATAACGTAGCATAAAAGCACTAAATGTTAAGTGAGTGGAGTTAAATATTTACAAGGTTCTACACAAACAGAATCAGAGCATATTGGAATGCAACATGAAAATATTTTTGGTAATAAAATTCAAAACTAATAACAAGGAGCATATTCATCGAATTTGGTTAATTTATAATTTGAATAGGAATATTTAGTAATATAATGAAGTATAAAAGTGCCGAGTTTATAGGAGATTATATATAAGGCTTGCCTCATATTCATATTCATGAAATTAAAATGCTTCTCAGTATGTGATAAAAATTAAGATTCGTCGCTTTGACTTGTTCAAATGTTTTATTATTAGACACTGATGAATGAAAAAGTTTAAGGCTACCAAAGAAAAGAAAGTATTTATTTTTAACCTCAATGGTATCGAAATATAGATACTTTTAGTAATAATATATATTTTTACATAACATTTATTTTCACAATGAACAAAGAAATTTAGATGTTAATAGTATATTATTACTTTTTTAGTATATTTAGATTACAATTTTGGCCTTAAAACTTTTTCATTCACGTCACAGTACCTACCTAATATAGGTATATATTTAGCTGTATACTACATAACTATATAAAAATACTATAACTGTACTTCTCTGGTCTGACAACATCCTAATTTTTAATTATATTTTTTTTAAATGTATTTTAATGTATTACATACAAGTAAGAAATGACATGATTTTTTCACTTTCATTGGAAAAATCTGTTTATTTAACCTACTGCTTTTTTTTTATTTTATAATGTTAATATATGTAATGATTACATATTTGTCTCTGTTAATGCTTTATTTTTCTCAACAATAAGCTAGCGTCCTTTAGGCGTTGTCATGCCAGAAAATTACAAGTATTAAAGAAATCATAGTCCAAATGTATGCCGTCGACGTAATGTATAGTATATTGACAAATTATAAAAATATTTAATAATATTATCTATTGTACTTCATAACACAAAGTATCATGCCTCCGCTTACACGTGTACAACTATTTATATAAAAGTATCTTATATTAAATGGACGTTTTTGTGCATATTTTCCTAATTATGTAATTGGATGGAATATATTTTTGAAATATTAGTTACGAGCGAGTATACTGTAGCTAGGTTAATGAGAGTATATTAGATTGTAGTAAGCAGTGCCCGCCAATATCTAGTGTTGTAAATTTATAAATTTTGTTACTGCTATAAAAACCCCTAGAGAAATAGAACCCCGGATTCTTCAAGTCTATAGTGAATAGATTTCTTCTGGGTAAGCGCGCTACATCTAGTCTTGCCATCGGGTGCGGTAAGAACAAGAGCAAACCCATTTATAACAAAAGAAAAAGTTGTAGAAATGCTTAATGTTGAAGAATATCGTTATATTGAGATGTAGCGATGTAAAACGTATTTAATGAGAGGCCCTTGTATTCAAGAATTGCATGGATACGATCCGCAGGTTAATCTTATCTCAGTATCAAGTTAAATCCAATCACTTTATTACGGTTCTTTTGAAATTCTTGTTTTCAAATTTTATTTTATTTGCTACGCTATTTCATATGTAATGTACTTGTGTTAGTGTACTTTTTGTAATGGATTATAAAGGAATGGTGCATCCGCTGTCGCTAATGGTTTACGCTGGCGGGGCACATATGGAGGATGATAAGATGAGCATGAGGTCAGATCAATTAGCCCGTTGTGGTAAATTCCCCAAGAATTTGTCATGATTGTTTCCAAGGCGAATTGCGTGGAGGTCAATCAATAATAATAATAAATAAGAATCCCTTTTCCTCCATGTTAAAGTTCTGTACAAAGTATGTACCATTGTACTTTAAGGTGTGTGTGTATACGTCTCTTTAGGAATAAAAATGACACAATTCTTATGCTTAAGGGCCTCTAGACGAAGTAGTCTAGTACCATGCTAAAAATTGTTTACCAACTTCCAAAAAATAAGACATCAAAGACACGTAGCATTCAATTCTATTTAAAATAGTAAATTATGGTTTATTTGAAAGCAAGTACTTTTTATATTAGTCCCATAAAAATTTTACTAAAAAGGGTTTAGCGGTTTGGATATTAAATCAAAATTATTGGGGAAATGTCATTCAATGATGACAGTCACTTAAATAATGCTAATAAAATACCTATATCATTAGATTATGACGATGAAATTGGTAACTATTACATTTGTTTTCGTGATATAAAATGCTTTGAACTGTTTTATTCATTTCTTAACTTGAAAACAATTTGTAGATAGCAGCTATATCTACACTAGAACCAAAAGTTGGCGGCCTGCTTGGTCCTCTAGTTGTATTGAGCACAATTTGATGTTGTTTCGTGTTAACGATAATTCCGTCAACATAGTAACAGCTAAACAAACTATTCCTAGCGCATTTCTAGTATCGTGTTTATATACAATGATTATAAAGATTTAAAATTATTTCTCTTCTAGTTTTGTTATATTATGTCTTAGTGTATTTAAGTCACAGGTATAGTTTTTAGCATTATAGTTATTGTCATATTCATATATTTTTTCATAAACACTGTTTTAAACACTTGTCGATTACAAAATCGAGAAATGATCAGCAGGGCTGGTTTTTCTACTCAATATTGATTACAATTCTATCTATTTTTGTATTGTTCTAGATAACAATGTCAGTTAGGCTTTCATTAAACACGAAGTATGGGTTTATGCGTTGCTAGTGCACAATTCAAGATAGAAAAAATATAAAACAAGGCAATCCAAATCAATTCGGGGCAAGACAATCAAATCCATTTGTCGATCGAAATCAGTCTCCAGAGTAGACCACCGATAGTTGTCGAGTCGATATATAACGTGATAATAAATAATAATAATAATTCTGGATTACCCAATAATAACATCTTCACATAGCGCAACCTCTCCCACACTTGGTGTTAACCAGATAAAAGAAGAGAAAAGAAACGAATCCTTGCAAAAATAATAATATATTTTTTTATTTATTCCATTATGTTCTATTAGTATTATCACGTTATATATCCGGTTTGGCAAAGGTTTAGGTCTCATCATCCTAAAAAATAGGATTTGAAAATAAAGTTAAGGGTTGTCGTATTACTTTATATCCGATAAATTCGTCCGTCGGGTGTGGCCTTAGAGTATATCCAAAAAAATCCCGATTATGCGGATGATGTCGGAGTTGAAAACTAGTGACAAAATACACTTATTGTTTTTTTTTGACATTGCCAATGTTTCGTTCTCAATATTGTAAGAAACGTGATGCACTGTTTTGTGTAATCATTAATTTTGGTCTCATTGTTTTTATATTTTATTTGTCATTATTGTAGTCTAGTCGATAAGTTTATAGATATATATATATAAATTGCGGCTGCGCTCCCACTGAGTAATAGCTTTAGCAGCAATACTTGTATTCATTTACGCCATTATTTATTAATAAATGCTGAAGAAAAAATCTATTTTTTCATTTATTTACACTTTTATGTAAATTGTGCAGTTTGGTAATGCATATCCGTAACATTTATGACTATAATATCAAATCATTCTTAAGAGTTTGACTTAAGGGTGAACTTTTCGCGAATAATAGGGTGGTAACGCCACGCTCAGAGACGTCTAATGATTTCTCAAGTTACTCCTAGCAAAGGACACTCAGAGTTAGGTTAATGCACTACTTGATTTATTATATTTTAGTCTCAAAAATTCTGTATAGATTGACTGACTGCTGAGATTCTGATGTGAAATGGCGCACACATACCTAAGCGCTAATTTTACGCTTGAGGGACCGCCTAGGGGTCAACCATTTAGGCACCGTTGTCACGTAACACTGTCTGTAGGTATATGTATAATTAAGATCAAAAGCAGAAGCTTGACTAGCAGTGCGTGTAATAGCTTATCTGGCTAACAAGGAGGAAGGGCTTATCGACGATCACAACGACACCTCTGACCTTTGTGCATTTCCAAAATCGCTCCGTGCGTGTCCATTGTTAACGTGGCCTTGGTGGCTCAGCTATTGTTCACGGAGCGATTCTTCAATTTTCGCGTTTACATGAAATTTCACCTTGGATGATTTACAATTAAGAGGCGTTTTATCTTGTTTATATCTCTAGTAAGTACAACTTGTGTTTAAGTAACACCAGCGGTGTACACAGGCATTGCATAATTTATGGGTAAGAATACCAACCAAGTATGGCTTCATTTCATACTAGCGATCCCCCCGGCCTCATTCCATTGCAATTATTGAAAGTATCTCTGTTTACTTTAAAACAACGTATGATACGTGCTAGTACCTAAAGTAAGTAGCTATCTGTAGAGAGAGTATTTTAAAATGATATGATAATGCTTACAGTATTATAAGTATTTTTGAGGTTAATTTGCTTATGATGATAAGATATCGGTTTAATTTTTTTTATGGTGCATCGGTTTAATGTTTATTATATTAGTTCAGATTGAAAAAACGAAGCATACGGTTATAAAATACGATTAGTTACATGAACCGAAACGATTCAGTTACGTCTTATAATAACATAGAACACACCAAAGAGAAGTAGTTAATATAACGAAATGGAGATTTTCGAAAAAATTATTACTATCTATAAATTTTATTTTGTAAAGTTTAAAAAACAAGACAAGAACAAGACTTACGCTATAAAAAATTTTAGTTGATTTGTTTATTTTTCTGGATACTAATTGGTGCCTGAAGACAATTAATTTCGAATTGATTATCGAAGTAATATAATCACTATTTATATTCGATATATACTTTTATGCGAAATTGTCTCTATATTTTTGTGCATCTGTTTGATACCTTTTCACAGCGGCTGCAAGGATATTAATGAAATTTAACATAAAAATAAATTGCATCATGAGCAGCATATAAATTTTTTTACCTAAAAAGAAATTAACGAAGTCGCTGGTAACAGTTAGTTTACAAGTAGTAGTTCAACTATAGCTGAGGTAATGAGCAGGCCGCTGTATGCGTTATCTACATTCTTGGAGTCCTAACAAAAAAAAACTCGTATCTACGTATCTAGATATGAGTTTATTGTTAGGACGTTGTCATATATGCTTAAACATTTTCTACTTATGTGTAGGTATGTAGGTAATTCTTATGTTTTCGGACATACTTAATCATGTTGCAAGTAGGTGGTTACCTATTTTTCGTAGTTATGTTACAAATATCGCACGGTGGCCAGCTGCGGCGTGGTAATGGTAATAACATAGAGATAATGGAATCAGAGTGAACGACCCCTGATTCGCGCCACGCGACAGGTGGTCAGCCCTCTGCAATTTTAGGAATATCGCACACGAATTATTGGATCACGGATGACATATATTTAAAAATAAATTAGTACCCGAAAATATATGATACCCAGCTAATAATTAAAAAAACTATTAAAAAGACACACATAAACGGTGGTCTAGCAGTTCACACACACACAAACACATCGTTGTATTCTAATATGATCAGGTTCGATTCCTGGCTCCGAGCTAACTCTTGTTTTATGAGTATGATTATTTATATTGGTTTGGGTGTTTTTATGTATATTATGTTTGTATTTACAAAATAAAATTGTATTTCTTTATTGTACGCATTATGTATAAAAAGACACATAACTCAGAATAATAATGGGTATAAGGCGACCTTATCCCAAAAAAGGGATTCCTTTCAGTCAACCTTTGAGTGACTGAGAGGAATTGTGGAGTAGTGTATACAGGTAAAAAACATACAAATTGTCTATCAGATGTCCAGTATATCCCGCAAGTCAGGAACAGGTCAAGGCGACCAATTTCCTCTTGGTCCAATAGTTCGAAAATGGTTGAGTAAGTTGTGTTATGAGCTTAGGAGGTAATTCACATGCGGTCCCAAGGGTCAGTTGAGGAGTAGCACTTTCGCAAACATGTAAAAAATATTCCACTGTTTCCTCCCGGTTCAAATTGCTATTAAACCATAGTTAAACCGATATATTGAACATGTTAAAAAATATAAATTATCTCTTACTGAAAAAATTTTAATTTGTTACTTTATATGCTATTTTGAATAAATACGTTTTTATTATATATAATGTGGTAGGTACTAGTCAGCTGAAGGTATTTAATTATATTAGTGACCATTTGGCCTTTGATAAGAATAAATTTTATACACCATAAGTTTAAAGTCCATTTCCATCTATAGTGTGCGATATTCTTTATGGTTCCATAACAATTGATTCCCTACGAGTTTTCTTAAAAATTATTCTTTCAATTTTCTGCCGTATTAAAGATGATGAAAAATTGAATTGGGATTATTGTTTATTTAAGTATTTGTTATTTTATTGTCTACATACAAATAATTGTGATTCATTCTTTGTTCAAGCCTAAAAGTCCTAAATTTGAGTTGAAATGTATATCGGTCCAAGATGGAAGTGTTCGTTAATTGTTAGGTACCTACTTAGGTACCTAATTATACGATATATATTTAAATGAACATATAATTTAGCACACAAATAAACAATACCAACCTACTGGCTATCTTATTTCATGAAAGTAAAGTTGCGGTTTATAGTTAGCATTAGAAATAAACAAAAATTGATTGATCGCTTCACTAGTTACAAATTCCATTGTGGTAGTGCTGCATTGATGGCGGTTTGCATCTGTCACGTTAGTATGGAAAATCGAATTCAATGCCGTAGAAAGTGATACGAAAATGTATTATTATTTTAAATTGAATATTTTCTCACATAGAGAATGCTTAGATATATACCCACTACTAGTCCGCATTTGATAAGTTTCTTTCCTTTTTACAATGAAATGGAGGTCTCGGTGGTCTAGTTACCAACCCGCCTCTCCTCCGGTTGCATATTCGAATATCGCATGACACAAAGTTTTATATTAATGAGCATTATTTGTATCTTTATTTTTGGTGTTTATTATGTATTGACAAACTATGTATATATATATATATATATATATAACACTCCTCATCTAGAAAAGGTTGGCGACCACGAGGGATTGATTTCGTACTCGTTCTTTCACCCTATATCGGTGTAATGCATACAATTACCGTAGACGTTAATAGATTGCACTATAATTCTATTATCATTAATATTGGTCAAAGCAAGGGGTAATGTTTTTTAATTGTATAAATAAATGTTCTATCAAAATATTGTGCTATTTTGACAGAACAGTGAAATTAGATATTGGTATCTATTAATATGTAAAGTAAAAACTAAGTACCCATTTTTCGAAAATTGCGCGGACGGAGAAGTAGAAGTATCGCACACTGAAAATTACATAGAGAAGGAGCATTCCTCCTTGTGTTATCATTTCTTCTTGTGTTATAATAGATACATAGTAATCTTTATGAAGCAAGTCTTAGACAATAGAAATATTATAATATTCAAAATTTTATTTAAATTAATTAGGTATGGTCGAAATTAAACTAGGCGACGACTAGTATATTATAGACTGACATACATGCCTTCATAGATATATTAACTAGGTAGACTTCTTAATTATACCACAAATAACATAATATTAGGTACATAGTTTTATTTAAGGCAACATCCTTCGATGCAAATACAAAATGCCCTACCATTTTTTATTTCAATAATGCAATTGTTTACGTATGTTGTTTAATATTTATACCTAAAATATTGTGAAATAAATATTAAAATTTGAAGGTGTTTTGCCTTTATTAAATAAAAACAGATTATTAATTACCGTTTGGTAAAAATGATATGTGTTATTATATAACTAGCTGATCCAATAGATGATGTCCTGTCTTAATTATGTACCTACCTATATTTAATTTGCATAGGTATAATTTATATATTTTTTTCTTTCATAAGAACCTTCACCTAACTAAAATATACACAACAAAAAAATAATAAGCTAAATTGTTCACTTTTATGTTATGTTTACATGTGATACCGTAACCCTTGGAAATAGGGATTCATTTATATATAGATAGTTTGACTACTTAGTAGGTGACTACAATATAATATATTATAAACATAATGCAAGGTAAGTAGTCCCGGCCTTCTCACGGTCGAGGCGACAATGAGTTAATGTATAGAATCATAGAATCGTATGATTTACCGCTACACCGGTAACTTCGCCGTGGAAATATGAATTAGTTGAGTTCACACTGTCGAAACCACGCACGGAACCTGGGTCCGTGTAGGTTCAAGATCTTGGATAGGTATCTAGAACGGGTACGAATATTGTCTTGTTTTTGTAGAATATAACTAGACGAAAACAGTAGTATTTAGTCGTTTTATTTAGATATAATTTATGTGGATTTTGTTCATTTTAAGTAGCTACTCTACGAGTGTAGTTAGCAGGGTTGCCAACCTTAAAACGTTTTGCATCGAATCAATAGACAAATATCTAATGTCTTTCACATAAAAATTGTACAAGAATGATCATGTTCTCGAGCGGTTGGCATCCCTGTGCGATAAACAAAATTACGGTATACAGCATATATAAAAGAATATTTTATGCGATTTTAATATAATTGATTCTTCTATAGTGAGATAAAAGATTAGGTAATCATTACAATTTTGCTAAGGTAGAACGTGAAGTTGAGTATATAAGTTGAGGTGTAACTATATTTTTAATTTATCATTATACTTTGAAACAGCGACTTTCCAAATTGTAAATTGTTAACGACTATTAAATTGTGTTCATAACAAGTCTCTAATAGTAATCTAAGACTGGGTAGCTATAAAAAAAACCGCACAGTCAATCACACTATCTATATCTATTAATATTGTAAAGAGGTCAGATTTAATTGTTTTGCATGTATGTAATATATAAATCCAATATTGTAGCGATTTTAATTCTTTCACGCTGGCAGAGTCACGGGATATACCTAACTACTATACTAGTCCACCATAAGAATAAGAGTTCATTGTTTGGAATGAACTTTATATTAATATAATTGAATTTAAAATTACAGTGACTTCAATGTATGGGACGGAAATAAAATTTAGATCAGGTATGCAATATGATATGTTAAATATCATCATTGTATCATAGTAGGTAGAATAAAATTATATATTTTGTAATGTATAATACTAGTTACTTAGGACCACTCACACAGCGCCTTCTAATTCAATGTTTGTGTCGTGCGAGGTATAGAACTCGAGACCATCAGAAGTAAGACAGTATGTTAAACCGCTAAACCACCGAGGCTGTAATATTCTCACTTAGGAACTTTATACCAGAGAGAGCCTCTATCTACAAGGTCGGCTACGTGGGTACTTCTGACCTATTTCATCTACCAAGTAATTTGCTTTGCACGCTGTGTTCCGGTACGGAGGCATAATGCTTTATTTCTCAGGATTAATACGTCTATACGGGCATTGAATACAATTTGTAACGTCCTTACTATAATTAATTTCTATAGGCCATAATTACAACAGGCCGTTAATTTGTTTGTCATTTTATTCATAAATAAATATTGTAATTGAGAAGGAATATCTTGAAATTATTTTGCAAATCTAAGATAATTAGATAAACTGGTTATAATAAGTTTTTCTATATACCGGATTATATAAGTACGTCAGGTACTATCTATTAAATGTCGGATGAACTGTCAACTTAATAATTATTATTTAAATTCATTTGTATTCCCCGGTCACAATTTATGATAAAATATTATTCAAAGGATTGTTGCCGCAAGACACACAAATCATATGTAAGACGTAGCAGTAATTTTAAAAAGAAATATAAACGAAAATCACTGACTTAGGTCATTACAGTACAAACCAACAAATATTTTTCACATTAAGCGGTTTTCAAATAAAAGCTTTTGTGCTGATTTCAATAGAAATTTAAGTGAAGAGACTAACGGTTTGGCTAACTCTCTAACTATTCAGAGTTCGCTCTGCGGATCACCGTTCCTTTACTTCACTATCACCATATGTAGGTACCACTAATTTACCTACGACCAAATTTAAATACAGATAATCTGTTTTTATATTTTGAATATTTTGCTGGATAACAACTGGAATGTACCTAATGAATACAATAATATTGGTACATGTTAAGTCATAAATAAATCTTAGAATCGATATAATACGTGAAGCAAAAACTTTGTACCCCTTTCTAAGTATAACGGACGGACGGACGAGTATGAAATTTCGCAAACTTATACTATAAACAGAGCAAGAGCCAAAATTGTATATATACCTATGTTATGAAATTATGCATAATAAATAAATTAAATCATAAAAAAATAATTACATGCACTACCTTGTATTTGACGCACACATGCATAATATTTGACATTCGAACCTTAATAGTGTACAAACTTATAATTTCTATTATAATTATTAATTAATCGAATTTCTACCATTGGGCGACCATTAGTTTGTTCAAAACCTCGACCTAAGTCGTGATGATATTAAGATCAACACAAGTGAATTTGATAGTGAATCTAATAACTAAATGTATTTCATGCATAGAACTGTCGTCATATTCTTTTGTTTCATGTTACGTAGTACCTACTCTTAAAAATACCTTCACCTTTTTAAATATGGTTCACAAATCCTTCACTTTATAAAGGTAATATTTCGACACAGTAACATAATTGCCTATATAATTATAATATTACAACGCATTAAAAAAATGGACCGGAAAACCGCGAAAGTAGCTAGGACGAGCGCTTCGCACGATGGCGACCTTATGACATCAGTACGTGCCCTGTTATCGGTCACTAATATACCTAGTCAACTACTACGAATCTGGTAAACAAAGAAATAATCTCACAATACAACGACCTCTTATAGGTATAGTCCGTTTTTAATACTTACTATATTTTAATAAACAACATTGACCTGTACCTGTACCCTGTAGGTAGGTATGTATTGCAAATGTCAAAGTACATATATTTATTTATTCTTAAAATCTATTTCTCTCAAAAATTGTATATTCTTAATCAATCCTACTTTTACTTCTTCAGAGATACCTATCTAATAAATCCTGTAAATAAATAAAAAAAAACGAAATCTGAATTAACGTCATCTTGAAATATTCAGGTTAATTAACACGAGCTGGATGACAGTGGCGTCCGTCAATTTTAATTCTTATGTTATTTTATTATTCTATTACTTAATTTTCTAAATTTACTGTAATGTAATTTTGTTGTTTTTCTGAAATTCTCCTGTAGTTTAGAAGAAAGTACCGATAAACTCCAAACTAATACCAAAAGTAAGTTACGGCGTGTATTTGCCTATATTTATTCTTTGAAGTACATACCCATTGTATACATTTGGAGTCTCCCACCGTCTCTCATATTAATTAAGTTAATTTGTTTATAAACTAGAGTCATCTGAAATATAAATTGACGCCATAAAATGAACTCTCGAATTTATAATGTACCTATAAGTCGGGGTGATAAGCCATCGTGGTCATCGTAGTATCGAAACATATTATGTACACATTTTAAATATTTTATATTTTTTTATTATCTATTATTATTTGACATAAAATATTATTATTATTCTATTTATTACTAAAAACTGTCTTTCCCTAATTGCATTTACCATTATAATATAAATACAAGCCCTACGCTTACATAATAGTGTTATCTATTTACTTTGATTTATAGTTATTCAAGCTAATTTAAATTATTACAAGTCGGATGGCCTGTGAGCACCACCCGTTTAATGCCCGGGTTGATTCTGAGTACATTTGTGAACCAGACAGCTGGAGGCGACATTGCGGATGCATTAAAACCAGTGATAAGCTGAAGAAAATACTGAAATGTTTCCCTTCACCACCGCCACCCACCCCGGTCAACTCGACATACACCACTGCTGTTCAGTATTTCATTGTTAATTACTACACATTATCTCTAATTTCGCTAATTATCTCTTAACTATGATTATACTAATACTTATAAGTAGGAATCTAAAAGAAGACAGCGAGTTTTGTACGAGTATAGTAAATTTCAGAATCGTATCAGAGTGTACCCGATATAAGAAATTAGTTCACTTTTTGAAATAAACATTTTAAATGTCTCTCTGGATAAATTACGACTAAAAAAAAATACACATACATATTTTTTATAAAACATAATATGTGTGTATTTTTTATTTTATACATAAAAATATCACAAAGTTGAGTGTCAAGGGGAAGTAGGAGGAGATTACTAGTAAAGTATTAAAATATTCGAATTTTATTTTTGTAATTGTATTGACAAACAAGCTGACGGCATCCCTACACGGGACGGGTGGTATAAACTCGTAGCCGTCGCTATAAACAACAATACCATGAAAAACTTTCTATATTTTTATACATCCCATGAAGAATATGTAATATTATATTTCAGTTCGACAATACATGTATCTCTGGTTATTGTACCCATCAGTCCATACCAGCTCAGACATACGGAACGGACACACTTGTACCTAAGAAAAGTAAAGACTTCAAAGAATTGCCAGAAAAAGTAAGTATCCAAACCTTTCGTACCTACTTGTAATAATATAATGTAACACTAGTAATAATATAATATTCATACAGACAAAACAGTCTACAACTATCGATATAATACATTTATTCTTCCCGTCAATCACCTGTCCTATTCCAACGAGGAAACGAAATTATTACGGCCCGAGCCTACGAATCACAGATTATCCTGGAGCGATCTCACTGTTCTGAGGATGGTCACCCAACAGGTACATAGGAGTTGGGTGGCCACTGCTACCATTTCTTTAGCTTCGAAGCATTCTCTAAGAGTACTATCTGTAAAAAAAGTAGGAAATTAAGGTTTAATTATTCTTTTCTTAGTTGTTGACTAAGGTAAATCAACAATCCAAGTGGCAGTTGCTAGTTTCTTCATGGGATGTATAAAAATATAGAAAGTTTTTCATGGTATTGTTGTTTATAGCGACGGCTACGAGTTTATACCACCCGTCCCGTGTAGGGATACCGTCAGCTTGTTTGTCAATACAATTACAAAAATAAAATTCGAATATTTTAATAGTTTACTAGTAATCTCCTCCTACTTCCCTTTGACACTAGACTTTGTGATTTTTTTATGTATAAAATAAAAAATACACACATGTTTTATAAAAAACATATAGGTGTATTATTTATTTTTTTTAGTCGTAATTTATCCAGAGAGACCTTTAAAATGTTTCTTTCAAAAAGTGAACTAATTTCTTATATCGGGTACACTCTGATACGATTCTGAAATTTACTATACTCGTAACAAAACTCGCTGTCTTCTTTTATATTTCTACTTATAAGTATTAGTATAATCATAGTTAAGAGATAATTAGCGAAATTAGAGATAATGTGTAGTAATTAACAATTAAATACTGAACAGCAGTGGTGTATGTCGAGTTGACCAGGGTGGGTGGGGGTGGTGAAGATTTGTGGTTAATGTTCATCTATATGCATGGTCCGTAAAAATATACATTAGTTTATGGAGGTTTACAGTATATACATATAAATTTCAGTTCCCTGTAATAAAATTGATTGTTAATAATGCACGATTTAAAATCTTTATATTATTTTTGTTATTTTCTTATATAATAAAATAAAATTAGCGAAGACTACATTTTAATCTTCACTCAATCCTAACAACGGTTTAGTGAAACATCGTGACATGGGGTGTGTTCGGGTCGCGCGCCCCCGCTATCGGCCATCGCGTTCTTCTTCCGCAATTCCTTGTCGTTACTGAGAAATGTCTCCCTTTGATGTGTTGCCGGCGAACCGCCTTTTCTTTTACTTATTATTAGTACATTTACATGTAACTATTAGTAAAAGCAACATATCTAACAAAATGTCCTTATTAATATATTTTAATGGATACTCAAATTCGATCCAGAAGTGGCATTTGCCACTAGTTTGGAATCTAGTTTCAGTCGCAATAATGATGTCAATAAATGATGTTGTTAACATTTTTAAAAATATAGTACATAGTTTTTATATATTTAAAAAACAACTCAAGTTTATATTTTCAAATCTATGTTGCAATCAAATGTTTCATATTTATTTATGTCTATAACTAAGTACAGTAGTTGAATTTATTTAACTGACTATGTTTCCGTCTTTCCCAACAATTGTTTCGACACCATCCGGAAGTCTTCTACTTGGTAAATACGCTGTATTCGTCACAGCATCTTCCCTCTCCTCGCCAGTGCGTATTTTTCCTTTATAATGTGTAATTCCCATACATAATCAATTTATTTCAGAAAACTAGATAGAAAAGATATCTAAAATCATTTGGCGATCATTCAGTTGATAGTATAAGCTTAATAGATATAGAAGTGAATAAATTCCACAGGCAAGTAACTGGTCTGTGTATTTTAAAAGGATAACGTTATAGACGTAATGATTATGTTACTATGTCTAAAATCTGAGAATAATAGTGCAAAGCATTTGATATCGTTTGAGCGTAGGCAGAGCGATGCGGTAATGGACGCTCGTGACGTACGATACCATCGGGTGGTCGTGACAGCCTCGCGCCCTTCTTACTGACTGCAACTACAATTATATAAAATCAGGACACTAAATATAATATCCTTACTTCTTAGAATATTATGCGGTACAAGTACGCTCATGACTAATTTCGTACTTAATTGTCACACCTCTATGTCTAGTTAACTAAATAATATTCCATGTGAAAGTGTGTAAAGTGTTACAATGTACCTAAATTTTCTCATAACGTAATAGTTACCACTTAATGTACTAGCTAGCATGATTCATGTTAAACTTAGGTTCATTTCACTACTTTCCTGAAATAACAATATTTTTTTAAATAACATGATGGTTACACCACCTAGTTTGATGCAATCATGTTGATAGCTAATTATCGACTCATATTCGTTTGCTTGGGCCTTGTCATACGAATTTTATGAAGTTCTGACCTCTCCCCTTGTCCTTGTCAAATTTTTTAGATATTAATCATATTTTACAACTTTATTAAAATAATTAATTAATTAATGTAATATATAATCTGTTAGAAGTCATAATTATTGATCTCAAAATATATTATTTTTTAATAATTCCTAGAATATTCTAACAAAAGGTGCTCCTGTTGCTATGACACGTTCCGAGTCCACCCCAATCTAGATTTTATTCTTTACGCAACCGCACAACCTACGTTGTAGTTTGTAGGGGAATACTTTACATAGCTTCGTGTCGTAAAAATCCTTGTAAAAAACAGTTACCTACGTATTATACAAATACCGTAGTACCTATTACAACTCCGAATGTAACTCTCAAATTTATAGCATTTTATAGTTACGTAGAATGACAAAAATATTTTTGTTTGTTCATTGTTGTACCATTACAGTTATTATGTTATATTATGTTCTGTAATATACTATAGTTGTTTTTCTTTTTTAAATCAAGTTTTTATTAAATATGTTATCTATAGTAAAAATATTTATGAAAATATTATCTGGTATGCTGGCATACCAGATAATCTTTCAACCACTGGTGGTTGCGTTTGCGGCGTTCCTTTTCTATTTTCATTCCTATTTTGCCCATTTTCCTTGGTCACTTCGTTTTCTGATGTTTTGTCGCATTCATTATGTTTGACTTTGAAATATTCCTGACATCAATATTTTGTACATAATTTGTGTTATATATAAGATATATATGCAATTATTAGGGAATTAATTAAGAAATTAATTATGAAATTAAATAGATATATTTAGTTAATTGGCACAAGTATTATATATTGATTGTTTGTCATATCTTTATACCTATATATGTACGCTAATTCCATATCTTGTTTTGTGTCTAATGCAAGTATATACATATTTACAATTATTATTCTTGATTATTTTTGTGTAAGTATCGTAAGTGGCTTATTTCCTTCCTTTTTACTTGCGAAATGAAAATTTTCATTCTTTTGTTATCCGGCAACAATACATAAATTTGATAAAGATTTACCGGACATGATAGCGGATAGCGCGAAGGTCTATCCACATCTGATGCATATTCACCGATACCACCGTTTGTTGCAAGTGTTTCGTGTTAACATAATAAAGCCTTGTTTGTACACAAATGAGGCTACCGACACGTAATTCTGGTGTTAATGCTTTATTATAAGTATTTAGATACGGATCTCTCTAGGTTAAGACCAAGTACAGTTTAGTGTTTAATGCTATTGCCGAATTAGTTTAGTCTAAATGTTTGTTGAACTGGCGAATCCTCAGTCACGCCTACAGTAACGGACTTTTTTTATGAGATTGGTCTTAAGTTGTTATCATTTAGTGTTATAATTAGATTTTTATTGAATTGTACTTTGTACAAAGTCAAGATACCTCTGTCTGCTCTATTTCAGCTGAGACATAGGTCAGCTTACTTTGTAGGATTGATAGGGCAGTGAAATTGTAGGCTACGAAGACATGACGTAATAGTCCTGCGGAATAGCAACGCATTAGTGTCATATCTGGATTTGTATCCGTGTTGTCCATTTAGGTGTATAGGCGACGGTTACCACTTACCATCAGCATGTGGGCCATCAACTTGATTACCATATCAATTGCTTAAAAAATATGGTTACACGCCTAAGAGATTATATTACACATATCATAGTCGGGCTCCCAAAAGTAAAGTTTCTGCAATGCTTTATCTGATGCTAACGTAAGGCCTACTGGAATAATTGGAATACAACCAATTATTTAAATTTTATTAATAAAACATAATAATGGTATAATATTTCACCACTCGTTTTCGTTACCAGAATATCGCAAGAGGCATGTAGTCAATTATAGAGTAACAATAAGTACCCTGGTCAAATTTCACAATCTAACTTATAACTATGTAGTCCTAAGTCTAAACAGAAGTCAAGTTATGGATATTATTATAATATTTTTCATACCTACCAATCACAGATACTTCGCTATAGTGAAGAGAGCTCCGTTAATAAAAAGGACGAACGATATTTTCATATCACGTAATAATATATTTTGTCGTGAAAATTGAACTTTAATAAACAGTAACTAAGTAAAGTATCGACTGAAATTCACCCTACAGGCATCGCAGGAAGTAAGCAGCAGGTCGTGGCGGATAATAGCGGAGTTGGTACAATTACTGCAGTTGTCTGTGAGTGCAACAGCACTTGCATTGTACTACCTCATCTACTGTTACATGCAGCTGGTCTACTACACATTACGAAGTGCTCTGTATTTCCACCATGCTGATGGGTAAGCAATAGACCTTCTTTATATTTGATTTCAAATCTTGAAACCCTTTCTGGAATGGCACGCCATCTTACGGGTTCAACTATATTTAAAAGAAGCTATTGATTATATACACACGAAATATCGAAATCGGAATTAGGTGACAAATATAATAGAAAAAGCATCAAATTTAAGAATGATGTATATGAAATACAATATAAATGTGATATATTTTGTTGTAGGCCCATGAAAATAACAATAGGCGTGGTGGCAGTCACGTCATTGGTGGTGGGTTTCAATTTGGTGCTACGTATGGAGAGGCTCATTGGATTGTTTATAATACAACTCTTTGTCTAGCTACATCCGTCTATGTAATAGCCGTTAATTATAATACTATTACCATAGATAATATAATATTTACTGAATATACTATATTGAATAGAATGTTTCAGACATCCAGTGTCCCAAATAAAAGCGACTGTAAGAAATGATTAAACTGAGTATACAATGCGAACTTTTTTTTATTCACGTCTGAGATATGCGCTAAATGGTAGTTTTTTCATTAGCTTCTAATTACTGTCAGGTAAGTCGACTCGGAGACGAATTGAGCGGAACGGCTGCGTCGAAGCTTGCACCTGGACATTGTTTCCCCAAATAGTTCAGTGAGCGATTAAGGTCCCCCCACTTGTGCTTTTGTGTGAGTTCACTGCTGCGGGAAGTATTTCGCGGATGAAGTGGCACGTCGGAGGCTGACGTCGGCCAACACTTGATTGTCGGCCGTCGCACGACGCGCGCACACAACGACGCGGTTCCGTCGCGGTTCTAGCATGCGCGATTTTCGTGTTCCAAATTCAAAATTGTTGTTTTAGTGTAGCCAAGTGTAAATGACAGTTCAATACAGTGTAAGCGAGTAAGTGCGTATGAAAATGATGCTGAAAGTGAGGTAAGTGGAGTATAACATTTTGTTTATATATCATTCAATGTTACCAAAACAACCGACATAATATATTTTTAATTTATTTTTATTTCTAATAAAGTTTATGAGACAATTTTGTAATTAAAAAATGCAGGCATAAGGGTTTGTGAGTCGGAATTTTCAGGAATGGATACAATCCTTTAATCACACATCATCCTTACAAATTTTCAGGATTTGTTTTAGTTCATAAATTTAATTGAGTTCTACGTTTACTACAATATCATAGATAAATCTAACAAAATCTATAAAGCTTGAATTACGTTTTAAGCGTTAGTATTTAAATATATCTTAAAATGTATTAGTCACTAAACACAAATGCATCTTTTAGCGGCTAATTAAAAATAATATTAATATAATATTAAAAATAAATTATATTAATAATATAAAAATAAATTATTAATCAATAATTTCAAGTATTTCATTAATATTTATATGTAGATAACATTTATATTTGTATAAAAATTTAATATTGTTTTTCTGAATTTTAAACTACTAATTTAATACAAGTGGACCTATCACAAATTAGTAGTACTATTTAAAATAGATCTAATATTACTCTCCTACAAGGAGAAAGAATACTATTGATTATAAAAAGGATAATTGAAATTGTGAAATTGGCTGTAGGATATATATATGATTAATTTTTTTTTATCAACTATTTCCTGTATATTATATATATATATTGAAATTGTATGTAAAATAAGAGCATTGTACAGTTGTTTAACGAGCAGATAATTAATATTTGTACAAATTCGGCGTGCAATAAAATTATATTTGTACTGGTTCTGTGGCCCCGCTATGCTTGACCGGCTTAAATAGCATCGCTTATTCGCTCCGATCACTTCCAAATACAGCGTTTCAGCAGGTGTTCAATACTCATTGGATTTGATCAAGCTTAGTTTATTAATGGTCATTGTTTTACACTTTTACCGCAATCTTTTAATTTATATGCCAACTTAAAACCGATGTGTTGTTTACGAATCGTATTGGTACCTATTTACCTCTAACTTATTAAAGAAAGAACAAAAAAGAACGCAATAGTGATTTGTCATATACAGACGACATATACAAACAATACAAAAAAAAAACATTTAAAATATAGGATAAAGATACAACTGTAATACAATATTAAATTATTACTACTGTAACTGTCATAATTATTTTATTTCTACATCGTATATAAATACTAGCTAAGCCGGCAAACATAGTTTTGCAATAGAGATTTATATCCCTATTAAAAAATAAAGGTTGGTAGTAGAAGCGCAACAAGCAATATGTACATAAATGTTTAATACATCATAAAAAATTAAAATAACATAAAAAATCGGGTTCCCCTTATCATTTAGGAGTTTAAAAATAGATAGACAACTTTTTCTAGGACCTACTGAGTATACATAATATAAAATACATAATATATATAAAATTTAAAGAAAATCGGTTAAGCCGTTTCGTAGAAGCACAGATAACATAATATTACATAGTAGAAGAATGACTACTAACACCGTGACTACTGTAACTACTTCCAGAAGTTAGAAAGTAGAAATATATTTTCTTCTCGTGCTTTAGTGGACATTGATCACGTAACTACGCAGGTATGAATGTTTGAAAAGTTTTTGAAATATTTCCACTATCCTCATTTGGGCTTGTTATTCAGTTTCATGAATAATGTACACAAAATCACCTTTCATTTATTATGACAGAGTATAAAATTATCCAGCATCGATTTTGCGGTTCTTCTACAGCTGTGGTTAAAATATATAATCCGCTGGAGTGGTTGTAGAATACTAACACGTCGCTTCGAGCGGGTTGTGAGGTTTTTGGTAGAAATTAATGTAAAAATCGCATACATGTCACCCTCTTCCTTTCGAAAGTAGATGAATTTGTTAAGAATATTTCAGATACTAAAAATATGGAAAAATTGATTGATGTAAAATAGATAGTTTACTACCTAACTATATTATTTTCATGTCGATATGCCAAATGGAAGCGATCTTTCAACCGACTGCTAAAAAGAGATCATTATATGATTTTTTTTCTATATATTGCCTTATATGTGCTCCAAATAAAAACAAAAAAAAACAAAATACCAGAATGCATAAATTACAAATCTGGCTATATTGGTCTTAGCCGTTGTTCTCCCGCTGTGGGTATAATCTACCCATATAAATATGTAAATAACATATTTATATGGGTAGATTATAATTACCACTTATAGTATAGACGTAAAGGGGTTGTTAGCAATACAGATCAGATCAGTAGCACCATTTGTAGTATACATATATATATATATATATATATATATATATATATATATATAGGATACACATACATAGGATATACATACATATATAATAGGATAACTTTAACGTGAGCTCCTCAGCCAAATACCATTTGAATACAATCCTGGTAAATTCGCTACTTTGGGATAACTGGATACTGTATCTTCATCTTCTCATCTTCAACTGTTACCTCACCATCGTCTACCGTTAAAGCAGGCTGTGAACCATTATCTGGATGATAATAAAAGTTTGAGATGTAAGCACGTGTGTTATGCTGGCACCTAATTATTAAACATTCGTCAGTTTATCGCTCGGCGACGAGACGAGGTGCAAAAAGCCGCGATGTCAAGCGAGCCGTGGCGCGCGCTAACGGTGCGTTCCGCTCCAAGTACGCACAACCCTTAGGATTTGCTATCCAGTCTAAAAAAATACAATTTCTGGAGTATACAGTAAATTTCAGACTAATTCGTATATCCACAAAGGCGAAATATGATTGTATGTCACTGCCTTTTTTAGTCAACGGTGCTAAAATCTTTTTCATTGAACATAGCCAAAATGTTATTTCTTATTTTATTAACAATGTAAAAAATATTCAATACTACTTATATGTCATTAAACAAATTTTAATTGTATTATTGTCTTTTTTGGGTTATGGGGCAGAATTGTTTATTTAATTTCTACTGTATTAAATATAGCCTTTTCTGGATTTATTAACATTATTAAAGGTTTTTAGTACTACCCAGCCAGATTTAACACATCCACAGTTCTTTACCTTTAAATGTAACTCTAATTAAACTCTAATTATGGGGAGTCAAAATACAAATAGAAAATTCTAAAACATTTTACGCCCAATAAACTAAAAGATCTTTGTAAATTAGAAAAAGTGGGGATTTATACCAATAATTATATATACACATTTGCAGTAATTGAGTAACTTTAAATAAAGTTGCTGTTGTTGTAATATTTTAATAGCGTCTAGCTTCATAAACTTAGTAAACCCAAGGCTCCCATTAATTGCAACCGGGATGTTCCCGTAATTTGTTTATATTAACATAATTAAGTTGTAAGTTATAAAAATATTTAATATTTTTGTTGCATAATATGTTAATTGCAACAATAATAGTCGGCCTTGACCATAATGACCTAGTTAGTTTGATGTAGCGGGCAGGAGGAAGTGGTAATGAGGCCGCAAGATATAGGAAGCGGTGCGAGGCCGAGGCGGTTCCGACGGGCGCCCGCCCGTTATACCTCGCGATCATACACTGGATGAGCCTTCCTTTCTTACACAATGCTAACCTTCCGTGTGGTGACGAATTAATAATAATAATAACATAGGATAATTCACACATCGCCACCTAGCTAAGCAAAGTTTGTTTTCAACAGATAAAAATAGGTACTTATATACGTTGTTTTTGTAAATATTATTAAGTTATATAATACATATAGAAGACCACCCAGACCAATAACAACAATCATACTTATGAATATATAAATGTTTGCAGAATGCGAGGAATCGAACCCGCAGCTATCGCAAATAAAACGGTGTGCTGAATCGCCAGACCATCAAGATTGCTACTGTTGAATATAATGTAACACTATGAAACATTCAAAAGTTTAATATTATTAACTGCTTACAGAATCCTAAAAAGATTGTACCTGAACTTTTTTTTATTTGCCTAACCTAACAAATATACCTAGAGACCATAGAATAAAACAAATAAATGTTAGGAAGTTGTAAACCAATTATGGAAAAATGTAGATGAGAATTAATTTATATGCAGTCGAAGTGGGAGCAAGAGGTATACCGAGTCTCTCTACAATCTTCTAAAAAATCTTGGCCTATTTAGGAACTGCAGTGGGTTATATCTAAAGCTACATTGCTAGGCTCCTACTAGATTTGGCTGGGCAGGGAGAGAAAAACGAGCGGTGATGGGTGAGTGTAAACGTACTTCGGCAAATAGGCCCCTTAAACCTAGACTTTGGTTACAATCCCGGGAATTGCTCAGATTTTCCGTCTTTGCCACACGATGGACTCGGCACCCGCACCGTGAATCCACGGAATGCTAAGAAGTGCTCTCTTAGTAATCAATAAATGCGATTGGTTTTTCTGAAATGCTTGTAATAAGTTGTTAAGTTCAACTTCATACCAAACGAGTCGCGAGTTGATAGAACAAAAGACATAAACGAGCGTTCAGCGTCAGTTGTTTCGTGTACTCGTGTCACCGTTACATAGCTTTATAATAATTGTAAGAAAATTTACTATTAATAGAGTATTCATAAAAGCGATTGTGAAAAGTTATTAATAAATTATTTTATTTATTAAATATTTAGTATCTGCCTATAAAATATAAAGGAAAATAAAACACTTACGCCAGTAAAAAAAAAAACATTTTCGTTCATGTTATAGATTGTTAATAAAATGTGAACCTAATTTATTAAAGCAAATTAAGAACTGTCCTAAGCATTTAAAAGAAAGTGAAGCCTTTTAAGTGGACTATATATAGTTTTTCCGATATAGTGGAATACTATATGGTTGTTTTGCATCATGACATCCTGACTTCGATTGTCGGTCTGTCGACTTTAGAAAGGATTTTTTTATAAGCTCGTTCTCATTGTTCTGAGGATATATTATATTATTGAGGCTTTAAATTAAAGTAGTTTCAATATCGGTTTATGTCAATTTCAAAAAGCAAGAGGTCCGTCTAATATTTTTTTAAGCAAAATACCATTTAGTGATGCACAGAAAGTCACGAAATCTCTCATCTATTTCAACAACACTGGTTCGAGATTAAATTTCTTTTTTTTTTGTACAGACAATATCGGTTCAGAATTTGCGCTAGAAAAACTCAGTTGTACTAAGTACCTTTTTTCTGAAGTCATCTAGCAATTTTTCATTTTAAATATAATAATTTTTGCATCGTATTCTAAATCTGTAGATATGTATATGAGTATGTAGCTAGTACGCGAGCCCGTTACGCTGGTGACTAATGTTTTGTTACGCACGCATTTGTAGATTTTGGTAGTGACAACTGTTTCCCATTCTCATACCACAATTTAACGTCATTTTTCATGGTTAGGTATCTCACGATGTACGTGTTGCGATTTTGCGAAGTAGAAGTGCTACAAATAACAATAATATAATTTTGCATGACTTTCCGTTTTGGAATTATGCAGTGGAGAGAAATATTGGTAGGTGGATATCAATCAGTCGTCTGTTGTACTCATAACACAAATTGCTTGGGGCTAGATGGTGGTTAATTTTCTATACCCTAAAGCGATCTAGAACAGTAATATCTTTATTCATATAGGTGATATATGTGAAATAAATTTATTATTGATCTGGTTAGAGAAAATGACTCTTACTTACAACTTTCTGAATGGATTTTACGGATTAATTGATATTTAATAAAGCAATCCAATGAAATGGAATCAAACCAATGATCATGGTTTTTACCGTGTGACAAGCATACAATGAATTGCGGGTTTGTGGACTGATTTGTCAATTTCAATTACGGTTCGGTGGTGACAAATTTGGGATCATTGACTCTTTTGACTTATCCTTAAACAAAATAACACTATTATTATTATATGGCATTATTTAGCATTTAGTATATATGATAGCTTTGTGGCGAGGTTTACTACTCGGACTTAAAAAGGTCTAAAAATTTTATTGGTATCGGCTGTGTCAAGTAATATTTCTGAAGTGAATGTTTGATATCAGATATAAGAATTTAAAAATAAAACCGTGAAACTGCGACGCCAAGCGAAATATGGCTGTCAAGACGTCGACAGTTGAAAATATTACTGATATTACACCTGGAAGAGCTGTCATGATGGTATATTATGATTATTATGTTAATACTTATAATGAAATTTGAAGGAAACAGTCTTCAGATACGTTTTGGATGTTATCTTTGCTTACACAATAAAAGTACTATGACCGTACATAAGAAGATCTTTATACCTTACCGAGGTATGGTATAAAGATATTACTGAATGTAAATATAAAATGTACCACTTGCTCACTTATTTTCCTATGGCACAAATATGTCTACTCTCTTATAGAGAATAAAAGGGAAATAATTTGTGTGAACTTTTGATGAGTTTTGCATCATACAATGATGCAAAACTCATCAAAAGTTCACACAAATTATTTTATTAAAAACAGTTTCGTATCTTTTTTTGTATAATTGAAATTTAATAATTGTAGTTACACCTTATACGGAAGCAACAAGAAGTAAGAATTTAATAACCAATGGTTAACCGACACAATTTTTTTATTGCTGTGGCGGTTAACCCTAATTTAAATGTAACGGTTTTATTATTTTTATCAATAAACATACTTATATCCACATACATTATAAAATATCGATATAATATTGGAATTTCAAACAAGCTGACGTCAAACCTGATATGTATTCATATGTCTAGTCTCATAACAGCTCTACTGACATCACGTTATCATGTGACGTCTGTGATACAACTAATGTGATAAACTATTTTGGGGATTGCAAGTTAAGTGCCTCTTATCGTATAATTCCATAGACTTGAAGAAGAGGTTTTTCAACTGAAACAGCTTACTAAGCAAGCTGTTTGGCAAAAGTGAGGTACTCACTTTAACAGTGAATATGGGAAGTGCTTCCATCAGGACATCGTAACTATGAAGAAAACGGTATCAAAGCCATTTCAATGGTTTACTTTACTGCTTATGTTATACAATGCTTTATTATGGCAGATTATTACTGTATTTTTGTCGAAATATTACAGAAGTAGAATATATGCGAAAAAACCACTTCGCAATTTTACTAACCATTAAAATAACTGGATATATTTTATTTTTTCCAAAAAATATTTATTTGTTTGCTAATAATTGAATACAAATTTGTATATACGTGAGTGGTATTTATATTTAGTAGGTAAAAAGAAATAATAAAAGTCCTTTATTCGAATAATACTTTTTTAAAGTAATAATTAGAACACCACTGTAATTTATGCGGTATCTTCAGTAAAATCTTATAATTATTTTTGCAATCCTATTTGCTCCCATATTGATCATACTTCAGGGTAATTTTGTTACGGTTGATATTATTTATTTATTTTAGTCATTCAAAAATGTTCATTCCCGTTTTCTATAGGGTAAGTCAACGACGGTTGACTCGCACCATATACATGTTTCTATACGAACAGGTTCCGACAGTGTAAAAAATGAATTATTTAATAGTACAATTGCCGATGGATAACGTGAGTTATAAAATTTTCTAATACGACAAAAAATGAAAATATAATATATATTGTTTATAAAGAACAATTGTATCGTAACCACAGAAGTAATCGATATAGACAGACATCGATTCGCTTCCATTTTGGTCGTGCTCTGTCATTACCCTGCCGTGTCTTTTGACCCGGCATTAGCCGGCCACGCGGCGGGGTCATTATGGTCAGTGTAATGCCAACTTTATTATTCTTATGGTAATACAATAAATTGTAATATTACGTATCACGACCGAGTTAACTCGCGTTTACATTTGTTTGCTAATATTATGCTATTATAATGTATCACGTTTCTTATTAAATTCTATTCGCCTGTATCATTTCTTTGAAAGTTTCAATATAATGATTGTGTATAAAAAATAAAAACTACAGGGATCTATCTTAACAATAAATAGAATTCTACTTAATAATGGATTTATTATACATATATTTACATGTTTCTTTTAATGTCAACTAATTAGAAATTTTACTGGACTTCATATGAAAACTATTTTTTTAAATGCATTTCTTAGGGTTTTTCAATGACCTTTGGTTTTAAGCAAATAAACACTATTTTATAAATTCAAATATTTTTAAATAATTTTATGAAATTATCTTTCAAACATGATACCTATTAACACTTGACTTTGGTTTGTTACAGGCTGTTGGTTATGGGGAGTTTACTTCTATTTATAAGGGTGAGTTCTTAAATAACTTTACTAATATAGAGATAACCAATACCTATATGTGTTATTATAACTACTGCCTGCCATACTATGCCTACATTACTCATATAATTACACTAAAGTATGTCCTTAATAACTCTTATTATACCTTATTAAATATATGTATAACCAACGGGTTAATTAACTAAGTGAAAGTGTTTATTTATTATCTTTTTAATAGTTTTGAAACTATTGATTCTCGTAGAACAATAAGAATTCAAATGAAGAGAAATTTAGGACGTTAGGTATTTATTTTTTAGTGTTTGGTTTTGGCACTAAAGTATTTATGTCTAATTCTCTAATGAATAGAATGAATAGATTAATGTGATGGTGACCTAAAATTTCTCTGAAAAAGTATTCACTTTTTAAGTATATATAAAAAAATACTCTTTAAGAATAAAAATATAAGTAATTTTATTTACTTCTAAAAACATTAGATACTTTAGATAATTTAGATTACAACTAATTTGTGAGGTAGTGTAATTTTGTTTAAATGCAGGATCATATCTGTGAGGCCAGTTTATCATATCAAAGACTCTTGTCATAAACCTCACCTCTTCAAATGCCACACATAGCTAATATTTATTAGTTTATTAATGAATATTTTCTTGTATTTATTTGAGCAGAAAACAAGTATCACCATATCTTTTTTACATTATTACGTATAATTATGTAAATTTTCGTGATAATCACTTAAACCGTTAGAGAGTCACAAACATAATCTCATTCCATTGCATTTATATTTAACCTTGTTATGTAATTGCGGTTGTAGAATGCACAAGCAGCAGTTAATCATCATGATGATGAAAGCACTTCAGCCGAATCCTCGGAGTCATCAACGGAGATCACGGTAGTGGCTGTCAGTTCATCATCATCAGCGTCCTCAGAAGTTCACGAGGGCTCGGGTGACGACCCTCCTGACCCACTGCCATCCACACCAACAAAGGTACATTTAATTGAAATAAGGTTTTTAGTATTATTATTATTAAAATAAATAAATATAGTACATATTTTTCCGTTTTAATAATAATAATATCCTAGTATTATTCATTCAGTCTCATTTAGTCCCGAACTAAGCAATGTTTGTACTTTCACACTGAACAATGTTTGTAGACTGCATTTTGATGATTCTTTTTGGGTTTACTACCACTTTTTCTTATATGGAGGTATGACATTTTTGTTTTGTAGAATCTGGAGTTATATATTTAAAATATAAGTAACGACGGTGAATTGTAATTATTTACCTTTATCCTTATTTAGCGAATCTTACCAATATTTATTTTTTAGGTTTATTACTTAATAGATGTAAACCGAAAATGAAAATCTAGTATGTAATGTAATTTTTTCTACTTTTCAGAATGAAACTAGAGAAGCTCTTAAAACAGATGGCAGTGAACAAGACCCTGTAAGTTTTCATTTATTATTAGTAGTACCTACTAGGTTAATAGTTAATTAATGTAATTAAATATTGTTATTAATATACAGGTCCTTATTTTATTTATTATTCTATAAGGCTCGAAATTTCAAAATGAAAATAGTGGAGTGGATGTTTTCAATTAGTTAGGGTTGAAGTCACTACAGCTTTTATTTCAAATCGTGTGTATTGTAACTGAAAGGGTCACTTATTAATAAAATTTTTGGTCATTCATATGACGCTCGTGCTACCCCTCATTGTCATTCAGAAAAACTTACATATTATTCCTTTGTTTCTTGAAATTTCAAGTACAGTGTAAAATATTTTTATATTAATTAAACATATTAGAAGTATACTCCTATGAATTACTGTATTACCAGTAATGTTAAGTACTTATAGTGTCATGGAGAGTATTCATAATTAATCCTCGCAACTTTATCTGCATCACATTTTCATTTTCTTGCAACATTTTTCATTGCAGCTCTGCTCTTATTAGTCGTAGCGTGATGTTATACATATATGATACTTTTCATCGATAAATGAGCTAGCCAACACTTTCATACTACTAGAGATTCTCTGAACGTCCAAACTCACATACCTTATCTTTCTATCCATACTTTACCTTTTTATAATATTATTATATCTGTGGTAGAATAAAAAATAAAATACCGATATTTAAATTTATTCTTCCATCTGTTTCTTTTATAGCCTATAATAATGGTAGCTAATTAAATTTGGGGTTATCTTGATGTGATTATGATTGAATGTGGTAAAAATATTTTGTGGCGAATAACATTAATCTTTTCAATTTTGGATTGGTGTCAAGAAGTTAAGCGAATGTGTCATAACCACATAATGTACGGGAAAAATCCTATGAATTTGTGGTTTTACGGTACAGTGCCATGCTGAGCCTAGTGCTCTTATTTCCAGCGACCTTACTCTCACTTTTTTCTAAAAAATAATCCGCGGTTTTGATAAAAATGCCTGCCGGGCCAGGCCGAACCGGCTGTGAGGTGAACGGCGAGACTAAAACGATTCATCGCCTACAATCGTCAACGCGGCTACACAATTAGCCACAATTACTTACAGGGAAATGGGTGAAAGGTTTTTGTAATGACTACAATTTACACCCATTAGTTCGACCATTGATGGAGTGATTGATAAAAATTTTAGGAGATTGGTGACTAAACTCTTCACTGAAATATCATTAGATACAGTCTGCGAGTATTCTTTACACTCGTCAATATTTAAGAAAGACGATAGTGTTGGTTTTACGGTCACTTTTTACGAGATTACATAAATAAATAAAAATTACTTTTTGGACCTACTTTTCGAAAGTGAAAATCTCTCTCCTCAACAAATTACATTGGTTACTCAATTTTATATATACAATACTTATATTTAAATTCACATCAGATACGGATATAGAATACTGATTATGAGTTGATTGATATACTTCCTATAGATGTACATAGATGTGTATAGATTTTATGGAGGTCATGAAAATAATATATTGCAACTAAAATTGACACATCGCGTTATAATTAAGTTCTAAACAATGTTTTTTTTCACGCGTGAGTACTCGTCCAATTCTATCAGTGCCACACACGTGTACTGGAGATTGCTCAACGGCTACCAAACACATTCGTAGGGAGCTCGATGGAGAGGCCACTAAACAGTGGCAGCTTGTGCAATATTACAATAGCATACATGTTGTAAAGGGCTGCTATGAGCTATTAATTAAGTTATCGGTTGACGTAGCACCGCTCGATTTATTCTCTCTTAATATTCAGAACATACTTGTTCATCGAGGTAAAGTTTGTACAACGTCTTCTACCTCAGCTTTGCCGTGGTTAAGGTACAAAGTATGAGATATGGTAGTAATATTATAGGGTACAGAGCTCGGGTTACATTTTGATATCGTCGGTGCTATTATATATATATGTTTATAGGGGACAGCTACCATTGCTATTGTCCATAAGGTCATTAATTTGTTCGGCATTCTAGTAATATTAAAAATATACCTAAAACAAATTGATATGGGTGGTAAGAAGTATAAACCTTGGCCTGGTTGTGTGTTTATTACTTGCACTCCATGAAACTCTTTCTAATTTTATCACTGGTAATCTCAATCTCATCTCCATTTTAACATTTGGCAACGTTATTCTGTAAAGCATAGGTGTTATAATAAAGAACAATATGGTGCCTTTTATGAACAACACATATATTTTTTTTTTTAAATGGGATACATAGAGTAAAAGTTTGTTCGTAAGTAGGTACACAGTCTTCAATTATGTAAATATTTTGAATAATATCTCCTATATATTAAATTACGTATATAATTGTATGCCATATATATCTTAAGTACTGCTCACCATTTTTTTTAAGAGTAACAAGGGATCCGTCTTATTTTGCAAGGGAGTAATTATTTCCGAGATAATTTTTTAAAAGCAAAGGTAGGCAAAGAGTAACGTGGGCTACGTTACTCTTTGCCTACCTTTGTCTATAGGTTAAAGATTTATTGTTTCCCTTACAGTAGGTATAACATGAACTTTGTCACCATTTTATAATCTAGAATAATCACAATTGTTTATCAAGTGCATGTCGTATTGTTTAAAAACTATAAAATGTATCTCGGATCTTACTGGATAGAGATGATTAATAAGTTTGTGAGAAACTTAGATAGTGTGCATTGTTGACACTTATTTGTAGCTTGTTTCATGTGTCAGATACTGATCTCTGACCTGTTGTCGCCGGTGTGTGATGAAATAGCTGTAGTTTGGTTCACATTGCACGTAAACCATGAACACTGCAACTGTCTGCTCTACATCATATGCACTTCCCTTCACATGGACTATTCATTTTAGATAATATTTTAATGAAATAATAGTGCACTTTCAAATCTTTTGCATCCTATACGTAGATGTGGGAGCTGCAAGCGTTGATCTGTATTAAGACCATTCAAACTAACCTAAAGGAACCTATATTGAAAAAGACTTTGCATATGGGAATATCGTAATTGTTTGTAATTGAAATATTATATAATATTTGACATAAATTAAATTTCCGTGGCATATTGGGTAATTGAAAGTATGTGAAATTGTTATTAATATTTTATTCATGAAATACTACATTTCATGAATAAAATATTAATATAAGTATATACTAGATTACTACTGAAAGAAATTCTTTGCTGTTTTATATAATGTACCTTCAAAATTGCCAGAAATTATTCGTGTATCAAATGTCAATCAAACTAATGAAGTATGAATAGTGAAGTATCAAAACTATCCATATTGAAGGGAATCTCTACTCTACTGTAACTCTTTCTTCAATTGATATTTAATCATAAATTAGTACGAGTATCACTTAGTAGTAGCACAGATAACATAATATTACATAAGTAGTAAGAACAGGCCAGCTAAATATATATCTTAAAAAAACGTTATCCTAAGATAATCTTCAGTAATACAAACATTTTTACGAATTATAAATTATATTTGCTATATTAGTACGGTAATGATTGACCTATATCAACGACACAATTGCTTGCTTACCTATAAGTCAGTACATATTGGTAACCAGAATTTCACTTTTATTTCTCTTAGTTCCCATTATTACGCGGCGAGTTTTGTTTGTTTTTATCGAGATCAATTTGTTACAGTGATGTGGCTACGCGTAAGTAGTAGATGGATTTAGTGGCCCAATTTTATAATGCGTATAGTGCTGAGGCCAGCTCGTAGTACACCGTGCGAACTGGCCTGGCACACTTATTGGCATTTATGAGTTTTTTGTGCCAAACCTGAGGGTCGTGACTGTGAAATGGTGCATTACCGGTCGACGGTAATTCGATAGTTTGTTTTGAATGTTTTGTCGACTAGATAATGGTCGCAATCTAATGCTAGCAAAGTCAAATTTCGACTTGATATAATATTGACTGTAACGGGTTTACTTTCAGAATGTTTTAGGTCATTCGTCTGTTAATTTGTGTTTTAATATTGTTTGAGTTTCGTCTGATGATTTGAAAGTACGTTCTCGTTTAAATAATAGATTCTGTGTCTCACACTACTTATTCTTGTTATATCAGTAGCAATAGCTGTATACTAAACACTACAAGTGCAGAAATTGATTTTAATAAATTACACAACCTCTGTACTCTGTGTGTCAAATTTGGATCTAAATTAGGCGTAGTAGCGGCTTAATGTTTAGATACCTATATAAACATAAAATGTAAATAAACTTGCTTAAAAAAAAAGAAATTCAATTGAGTTTCTTGCCAATTCTTCTCAATTTAATCTATATACTGAACTGTAGGGAAAAATATTAATTGCAAAAAACTTAATGTTCTTAAGCGGCTAAAATGTCCTACATGAATACATGATTTTTTAATTTGAATTTGATATCAATAAGTATCTTAGTTTCATATATTTTGTGCTTGCTTTTTATCTATCCATACATGCGTAAATTTTCCAAATTCAAGTAAATATTTGTTTATTGACCTGTATAATTTATGTCAATTATTCCGGTATACCAAATGATGATATTATTATATTATTTTTTATATTAATTGATTGTGTATGCAATTTATTATTTGTATAGTATTTAAATTATATTTAGTCATATATAAAGCATACGAATATTAATTAAATGCACTATTTTAAGAATTATTAATTATTTGTTCTTGTTTCTCTTATAGTTTGTACATATACAAATTGTGTATATTAATTAACATCTTGCATAAAGTGTGTGTATGCTTATGGAAGGTGAGTGCGAAGTCGCGTGCGATGGAAGTGAGCAATTAGGTTATTTATCTCATGGCTATCACATGTTACCCAATGTCCGCAACACTTGTATGTAAATACTACCACAGAAGGCGGTACTACGTAATCATTTTTGAAATTATAATATTAGAACAATTTTCTATTAACAACATTATTAAACCTTATTTCTCAAACATTGAATCTGATACAGTTATTTGTAAATACCTAAATACTCAAGAATCTACAAATTCTTGAAATTTTAAGTTTCAATGCTAGGTTGTTTGTTAAAGGCAATTAAACAGTTGCTAAAAGATAAATTAAGGAGATAGCTACACGGTCATTTAAATATTAATAATTATAGACTATTAAATGTATAGGTATAAATTATTATTTTATTATTGTAATTCAATTATATGACAAATGATTTATGTGCTGTCGTACAGATGTGCCTACGTTTGATAATATTGTAGTCCTATTTTTCTTACCGAATACAAACTTTTTACAGTACCTGGAATTATTTATTGTTCTTTTATACAGGCAAAAAAGAACAGGAATACATTCAAATATATAACAAATCTGGACTTTTTTGTTGGAACCGAGGCAATGTAATTAGTACATATCTATTTTAGCGTTTATATTTTAAGTAGATATCTATATAATATAGTTATTAGTTTCATATTGGAATATTTCTTAATAATATTACAAATGTTAAATTATACATTATATATACCTACATACTATAAGTGCATATGCGTAGTATGATGATTCATACCGTGCCTATATGAAGGCGACGAAATTAAGTAATTAAAACACATTCTAAACTAATAATTTCTTTACTATTTTTACATTTATTAAGGTAAAGGGCCATATTATGGAACATTGTACTAGTTTATGAAACAAGTGATAAAAATCTGAATTACAAATAATTTCTAACGTATTCAGTATTTATAATATTATCTTTATGATCTTTAATAACCTATTTATTGATTAAATTAATTTAATAAACACCTTAAAATGTATAGAAAAAAAAAATAGTGAAATGCACGTGTCAGGTTGCATGAAAAAAGACTGTCTTTTAGAGTTAGAGAATGACAGGTGTCATCACAATTGTTTTAACAATTTGAAATATTTGTCAATGATTCAAAAATACTTGAAACATGTTAATCAAAAGTTTGACTTATAATCTATTGATTGATAATGAATTTAATGTACTTTAATAAGGTATTTATTTTTTATTTAGGTGTTTCATAATTGCCGCAAAAATTTCTAAACAGACCGTATTTATGGAACAGTATATTCAGTGTTCCACATCCCCCTCACATTCGATTTTCTAAGTTGTCCGTAATTATGAAACAGCAATAAGTGGACAATATTTAGTTAATTTCGTGTTAATAATTGTTAATTAATTATAACAAAGCAATTTACGTTAGAACAGTTTATATTTATAAAAATTTGCATTTAGATAAGTACATAGATTGTAAATTTCCATGAAAATAAAAAACTAACCTCAAAAATGAATAAGCTGGATGATAAATATTGTTTTATGTTAATTAAAACAGATACTTAAGTGGAAAACCTGCCTGAAAAAATTAATAACACTTTATTTTATTCAAAATTTTTACGAAGCACCTACATATCACATTTTTATAGATGTTTTTAAATTAATAATTTTTATAGGTAGACACATTTTTTTTATTGAATTTGATATCTTTATTCTATAGACTTGTTTTATATTGTTATTATTAATTTTGATTGTTTGGTATAATTTTTATAATTTGATATTGGTTGGTTTTCATGAAATAAATAAACTAACTGTCAAAGAAGTGACGTTGGTAAATTTTAATTTTTAGAGAAAGAACAGAACAGTAAGAAAATAATTTGATTAATAATCAAGTCGAATGATAAAACTAATGATTACATGACACTTAACAATGATTGTCATTCTTCTAATAAATATTCTCCTCTGATAAATACCAGTACCCAGTCTCAACAAATCGCCCATGCCTGAGGTAATAACTGTATGAAATTATAGTATAAAAAACCTTTAGATAAAAAATAATGAAAGTAGTAATTTAAATTGACTAAATTTAACTAATATTTTGTTAATATAAATTTTATATTGTTAATGTTGGTGAAGAATTAATATTTGAGTTGAATTTGAAGTCAAGAAAAAATGGATTAAAGTTGAGTCATCAGGTAAACTCAAAACCTTCTGCTGGCATATCTGATCAATGGATGCAATTTGATCGTAAAACTAAAGAAGAAAAGCTACATAAAAGAAAACAATTATTAAATGAGAAAAAAGTGATAGCTGCTGAACGGAAAAAGCTACTAGAGAACGCATTACTACAAAGGATCCAAGAAGAAATGAAATAGTTGAATTTTTGGTTTAATTTAATGTATATTTGGTTTTTATATCTTGTTTATTAATCCTAAGATTTGAAACTGTTCTTGTCATATACTTGTAAGTGAATATTTATTTATTGCTTGTTTATTCGTATAATTTTTAAATCTAACTGTATTAATAATTAATAATAAAACTTTTGATACTATGAATAAATAAATTAGTAACAAGTTCATTTTGAGTTCCATAATTTTTTATTTAGACTGTTTCATAAATACGGCCGTATGTACTTGTCTGTTATTTTATTCAATTTATTAGCATTTTCAACTAAAACTCACTTGATAATAATTATTATCACTTCAGTAGATATCAGGCAAACTATTAACTTAGAAAAATTCAATGTTTCAACTCTATTTTTTTTTAAACAATGTAAAATATTCAACTCCTACTCAAAAGGTGTCTCATAATATGGCCCTTTACCTTATATTAAAATACAACACAAACGCTATTTTACGCTACATAAATTGTGCTTTTATTAAAAAAAATAACCTTCACAGTTTTCACGTCTGGAATAAAATAAGTAACACAGACAATACTATAATTTTAATTAAGTTCCGAGAATCTTACAAACTCATGTATATTATATAGTTCAGAGTAAGAGAGGAGAGTCTTTCTCTTGGAGACCTTCGGAGGGCATATTTTTTATTTCAAAAGAACAATCGCCTTCTATCTCCATAAAAGCCTCGTGATTTAAAAAGAAAAAAAATAAGAGATTAAGAGTTAAAGTTAAATTAAGAGTTAAGTTAAAATAAGAAAGTAAGAAACAAATTAAGAGTACAATTGACATTTTATGTATCTAATGTACGTGAATTTAATGAATTTACTATATTTTGGTCTTTCGCAACAATTGTACAACTTTATCCATTTTATTTATTTTAGCTTTATTTAAGTTATTTAAATTCCAGTATAAAGTTGTAATTTATTAGTGAAAGAATATGTAAGTCTTAAAATAATATAGTAAAATAGGCACTACTTCAACGATTACTGGCAGACCTATGTTAGAAATTAGTCAATAAATATCACAGACTTTAGAATTGTCATAAATATTACTGGTAGAGATACTAAGCACCTCCTTTTTCTGTTTAATAAATAAGCCTATCGATAGGGCTCAGATTCTTATTCAAAACTGGTATATGTTATTTTTTAAATTTTGGACTGGTATGTGGGGTCAGGTACACACACCAATGCTTTATGGACATACATGGTTTATATAATGTAAGTGATGGTTGCCAATGATGATAGGTGTTCCAACAGCTTGTTTGACATTCCAATTATACAAACAACTTAGTAGGTAGTTTTTCTTCTTTCGATTAAATGTCAAAAGTATTTTTCGCTGAAACTTGATGCAATATACTACGATGTGTACTATGTATATATTAATTACACTTTTTTATGTAGGTGGTATTTCTGTCCGAGAAAAACAGCTACATCCCTGTCAGCATAAAGCCCCGTTCTCCACCAGCAGCGGATAACACCTGGCGGGAGCCACCTGCGTGGGAGCGCGAGTACCGTCGCCACAGAACCAACACCAGCAGAGTCCAATGTAAGTACAAACTGATCATCATGATTATAATTGTTATGTAAGTACTTACTAAAGCTATAAACTAGCTATACTCCGTGGCGATGTTACCGTGATTTTGGCTGCAAATATCCTTTTCATATCCTAGATTTATCAAATGTATGTTTTAATTTAGGATATGATGACTTCATGGGATTTATGACAAAATTTTATTCGACTCCGTTATCTATATTATTTGAAAGTAACAAGCACTCATCCTGAAAAAGTTTCGATTTTCTTATATTGATAGGAATTAGGTCTCTAATAGGTCCTCCCTCTTATTAATTAAAACGCCAATTCTCTGTTTTAATTAATGTACAGTTTTGTCCTTATTTTCAATTTATTTTCTTTATTTGAATGCATTTACTTTTTTATAATTTGGTAACATCTCAATCAAATCATAAAAATGTATTATCAATGCAGGTATTGGAAATCAAGAAGAACGTAGCCTGCTTTATATCTAGTTAATCGAGTTTTTCTAATCTATTATATATTTTGAAAAAATATTGAATATTTGTAGATATTGAAGCAGAATGCCAAGATGATTTCATGAAGATTAGAGTTGGATTTAACGGGTCGTTTGCAGGACTGGTCTACTCAGCTGGTAATTTTTTTTATTTATTTATACTTAAATATATACCAAAATGCCTGCGAATTGCTATTTAAAAAGTTTAATGTATACCCGGCATGTTTACAATTTTATTATGACATGTAAAGTGTATATGATAGAGGCAAATAAATCATATGTACCTATATTTTATGGTAAAAAAATCGAAATGCCAGTGAAAACGGTTTCAAAATCTGTTGCATGATTTAGAAGAAGGAAGCTGAAAAACATATAGATGTACACAACATATAATTAGTTATTCTATTACAAAATATAAATTATTTTAAGTCGGATGACAGTTTTGTAGACATACCTAACGTAAGTACTTTATTCTTGTTTGAAATATTAATGTCATTGAGATATTAGGCAGTTCTCGAAAATAAAATAGCCATTGTGTTAAAAGACGTAAGTATTAATTCCTTATTGTCTAAGTAGAGATAAAATCGAAAAAATAAAACAATTACAACTGTTAACTACGTAGGGAAGTGTCATTACGTTGTTATTGTTATATCCCTCTAAGTGGTATATCGCAATCAAGTCGCCTAGATTACACCCATTCTTCTGCAACTGATTCAGGACAGTCTTAGGATCTAAATCTCTGTTCTAGTATATGAACTACCAAACATATTTGCAATAATGATTTTAACAATGTAAGTGTTTATATATTTATAATATGTATTGCACCAGATACAGAAAATAAATAACATAATAAATATATATTAACTAATATGAAAGGCGGCCTTATTGATTAAGCAATCTCTTCCATACACCCTTCGGGTAGAGGATAGGTTAAGAGGCATAACATCTTAGTTCTGAAATGGCAACGCATGACTGGTATTACTGGCGACACACGATAACGTGATGTCCGTAGTGCTGTTTATATATACGCAATGGTTACCCCTTACCATTCGATGGGCCGTCAGCTTTCCAATTACAAAAAGAAAATAGATTTCCGACGAGTACTTTGACTATGTTAATCGATGCAGTAGTGTAAAAATAGGCATTGTGTGTATTGGTTCGATTCTTGGCTTTCTGTAACTGTGAAACTAGTGGACGGCGCCATGCGGCGATCGACACGACCATGTCTGTTTAATTTGGAAATTGCGGTATGGGAGTATTTTTTTATAACTAATCACTTGACACTCGCGGATACCGTAATGTGATTATGCACACTTTAGATGGATCAGTTGTATGTTTTGTTACTTTCTGTCGCATTTATAACGGCGGATTCAATGCAATACAAATAAAACGTGGCCAGTGAGAGTCGAGTTTGCATTCCAAAGATTTTGTACGTATTTACCGACATATCTATTGTATAATTAAATAAATTGCGGACAAATTCTTACAAATAATAATTCTGGACAATTCACACAGCGGAGCGTCGTCTAGTTCTAAAGTATTCGTAAGCAGAGCTTATGTTACGGGTACTATAATGGATAACTATCTAGACACGCGGCAGCGTGTCAAGCCGAGTTTCAAGTAAACTGGCCTGCAGCACCGTGTGTATATTTACACGAACCATTTGGAGCCACTTTTGACCTCCTCATAACTCAAATATTAAACTCGGCTATCATTTCACATTTATGTTTTTGATGGGATATCATTACTTTTTGTACATATTATAAATACAGAACATAGAAGTAGAAAACAATTAGACCTATATCAAAAATCATAGTTATGAATACAAATGTTTGTGGCAGGCGAGGAAGTAAGGCGGTGCCGGTGTGCTAAACCGCACTCTGACGCCGGGAAAAATCGGCGAATTGTAAATATTACACATACCTAAGCGATCTCATAATTACTAGTTAGCAGGTATGTTATGGATATGAAATTTCGTATACGGATAGGATTCGGATATAGGAATGATAATTATACCGGATACGGATACGGATGCGGATAAGAAATTATTTCCGATTATCCGTTAGTTTCGGATAATTTCGGTTACGGATAATATTTTTTTAAGGAATTTCGAAAGTAAAATAAAGCTAATAAAATGGTTACATAACGTATTTCAATTAGGCTCCGCCCCTATCCGATATTATCCGAAACTTTTATTTCGGATTCGGTTACGGTTAGGGATATTTTTTTATATCGGATATCCGATAGTTTCAGTTACGGTTCCGGATCGGTACGGTTACGGATCCCCTTAATATCCTTGCTAGTTAGATATCAAGCAACCTTACGGTGCAATGAATATTTTTACTGATTAAGATTGTTAATCATAATTTACAATTCCGAAGCACTAAATAAGTATATAAATATGTAATCTATCAAGAGTATTGCTTTTACACTTTGGACAATAGTCTCATGATGCAGAGTGTGGGTGATACAACGAAGATTGTGTTGAATGGAGAGGTAATCATATTAATGGCAAATTTTATACAATTCTTAATATGTACAAAAAATATTCAAAATTTATACAAATATCTGTTAATTCTAATCGAAAAAGTATAGCAACAAATTTAGACTCATTTACGAGTATTTTTTATATAAAGTGCGTTTTTAATACACATAGGTAACGACGGGCGTCTCAGAATACAGCGACAGTAAAAGTAAAATGTCGTAATGATTTATTAATAAGATAAATACAGTTTGATAGCGTAGTCAGACTTTAACTGAAGTCTAGTAGCGTGCTCTACAAGCTAGTTTTTATTTCAATATATATCCAAAAATAAATTATTCATTTTACAATTTACATAATAAACAGTTTTTATTCAATAAACCTATCGATTTATCAAAAGGCGCCACACACAAACAATTTTATTAAACCGTTAACAGCTTGTGGACTTTTTAACGCGGGCCAGTTACTTTAACATCCGTTAAGGGAACAATTACATATTGGAACTTTAATTTGAAAGCGGTTTTGGTATCCTCATTGCCTACATTTCAATAATTCTTTAATTTACAAGTAAATTACACGCTAGATGCGATCTTTTACAGTAAGTGTAGTTATTTATACTACTAATTTTACAGTATTATGTTCTTAAATGGGTGAATCTACTAAGTACGTAAAAAAAGAATTAATTGTTTTTTATTTCTGTATATATGTATATTCTATATTGTTTGATGTAGTCTTTAGTACGAAAAACTAATGTGAGATTTCTAGATAATAATAGACTCAGTTTTTTAAACTTTATTGCTACAAATTGTTCTTTGATCTGTACGTACTGTCTATAACTAACAATTGGTGTACCACTAGGTACATTACTAATTTTAATGTCAAAGGAGAATAGTTAAATTTGAAACCAAAATTATAATAACTAGTAACTCGTGTTGCGAATTATTATGAAATTCTGTTACTAGGTATTCATTCGAAATAGTTAAAAATAAAAAAAATATATTACATAGCTATGTTTTCTATGTTATAACTTAGGTTCGTTACAAATAAATAATCTTAGAGCCTATTGGCCCCAACTAGCGGAGCTCTCTATGGATATTAGACGACTAATAGACATATACACGTTTTTATGTTATAATTTACGTATTATTTATAGTTAATTTGGCACTATAGACACACTGTAGGTCAGTGTCTATCCTATCATCTTCCGCTAGTGGACACCACCACGCAGCGTACATAATTTCAACATTTCCATAAAATATATATTTACATAGAAAAGTATTTGCTGAACATTAACTAATTTTACAGGTTACTCCTACGACCCGGATTGCATGTACATAAACGGTACAGGGCGTGATTATTACGAGTTCTACATACAATTGAATAGGTGTGGCACATTAGGCAGGAACAGTCAGCACGACGACAATAGGAAACATCCTACTGTGAGTTATTTTTTTTATACATTGTGACTTATTTTACCTGAATTACATCCAAGAGAATTTTAAATCTGTCATAGAGGAAAATAAAAAACGCCGATATTTAAATAAAAAATATTCCGAAAGATGGCTGTAAGCTCGCTCAATGTGGCATCATTGGATACAAAATACAGAGAGAAATGTGGGCATGTCTAGTGTTGCGTTCACCACAACATAGACAGTTTATAATGCCTCTGACTGACCCAATCTAGGATAACTATCGTGACGATATGCTTTGTACTTATTTTTTACCTAAGTACGATCAGAAATGCAAAGAAGCTGATATTGGTGTTCCGTAAGGAACAGTGACAGTAGCATGACGCCTACAGACATGAACAGCGAACTGACATTACATATTATTAACCGTTGCCCATTGTACTTTTTATGCGGAACGGCAAGTTCCAGAGAACTGAGGTGGTATGTCGCCGTAGGTACCCTGTAATTTCACTATCATATTGAGTTATAGTTTCAGTACTAGAAGACACATGCTATAACGATAATCAGATGTATAAAATATCACTCAAATTAAAAGAATATTTAATTTCGAATTATTATTCTAGAGGATGCCGAATGATATAACTGAATTCTATTTTTACTCTAATTATGACTATTCAAAAGATCTTACAATTAAATTTAAGTTTATTTTAATAATTTTCTTTCTATTGTAGTCTATTGATTTCACATTACTACAAGACACCATTCTAATATCCATTGCCTTCCATAACAAAATTTATCGTGATAACCATAATAGATTTGGATTTTTATTGATAATAATACCTGAGCGAGTAAGCGGCATTTACTTATGATTTTTCTAAAAAAGTGCCTATCCGTTATTTAATAAGTACCAATAATATATACACATACATAAATATGAAACATTTAGCCAAATCACAATATTTATAACGCGTATTGTTTTTTAACAGAAAAACCTAATGTGGAACACAATCACTGTGCAGTACAACCCACTAATTGAGGAAGAACAGGATGAGCATTTTAAAGTCACCTGCGAGTACGGATACGACTTTTGGAAAACTGTCACTTTCCCTTTTCTGGATGTTGAGTGAGTTTAATAACATAATCAATTAAGACATAAGCAAAAATCTCCGAAACTGCCAACGAATTTCTAGACTCTAAACTCTAAAATTCATAATCGTCACTTAGTTCAAATGTATTTGAACTAGGTGACGATTATGAATTTTCCAACATCTTTTAATGTTAACTTGCATATAATTTAGTTATATAGCATTAGTTCACATATTTTAAGGGTTATTTTAAATACATTATAAAGTTGTAATCCTGCCTGCGTTACCAATACCCAGTGATAATTGAAATGATAACGATGAATTAAAGTTGTGTATTGTGTGTGTTGTTGTGAATCAGTGCGAATTCATTAGGAATTTAGCACGATTGTTTCCAGGGGAAATCGTATGGCGGTCAACGAGATAAGGTACATAAATAGTAATGGTGTTAGGTAATTGTCCGCATTACAAACAATCTCTTTTCCTTTAATTTCAGGGTAGCAACGGGAAATCCGGTAGTGTTTACACTGCAACCGCCCGAATGTTATATGGAAATCAGGTCCGGGTACGGCGCGACCGGGGCCAGAGTTTCCGGTCCTGTACGAGTTGGCGATCCTCTTACCCTGCTTATTTATATGAGGAGTGCTTATGGTATGATTTTAGTATTATGTATTATTTATTACTTTTAGTTTACGCGAAGCGATAGCTGTACGTTTTTCGAAAGACGTTAGAATTGAATCCAAGCCAGCGATATGTCAAGTGATGCATTTAATATGACGGCAACAGATGACAACGTGTGTAACTATCACATTGACATTGGGAATAGTTGTGAGTTGATTCAATGTGTTATTGTTTTACTCTTTAATTCTTTCGTGAAAACTGCACACTGGTCTCAGTATAATTAAGAATCACCAAGGAGAACAAAGAAAAGATAAAAAAAATAAATGTTTTTCTTTTTTAGTTAGGTAACATTTATACTGGAAACGAAATATACAATAAACTTATATTATATCAGTATTCTAATTTGTTCATGAACTACGGTAAAGTTTTAACGGTGCTGTAAACATCGCGTGATATACTCCAATCCTATCCCAAAATATTCCAATACCGAAGTTCAACGATCCCTCATCGTTAATAGACAACTAAATCTGAACGTTTTTGTTTTAAGTGTGTCAAACTTTTACTCAATTAATGCAATGGTATTGATTATTTCAGACGGGTTCGATATAGTGGTGAACGACTGTTTCGCCCATAACGGTGCCACCAAGCGGATACAACTCATTGATGAATATGGGTACGTTTATTTCATTGTTATACGCTGTTACGGCAATTACGTTACCTTTATTCGTTATTTTTATGATTCTATAAAATAACAGGATATATATGAGTTAATATGTTTTACCATTAAGTTACCGAGTGGCAATCACAGGTAACTTAGAAATACCGAACACTGAAGGTAATTAAGTTGCCACTTAAAAATGTTTACGGACCATATATACCTATTCGTATTTGAAACATAAGCGTGACAAATATGTACCATGGCAGATGACAATGTCTGACTACCACATCTGAGATAATAGTCGTAAAGGTATTATTATTGTTTTGCTGTTATTTTTATTAATAAACAAAAGATGTTGCGTATTGTTATAGTTTTTATGACATTCAGCTTTTACTTGTCTCGCAAGCCTCCAGATTAAATCCATATTAATATTATAAGCCAGAAACGGACTTTTGACTAGTAGTTTACACCCAGAATTGCGCTCAAGAGTTCGTGAGTTCAAATGAAATCGCCACAAAAAAATTGCTCTCAAAAAGCAGGGTGAACCTTCTAGATTGTTTTGGAAATTTATGTAGAAGAATTTGCGGGTAAAAAACAGCTAGTAATGTATAAAATGTCTGTTTCCAGATGTCCAGTGGACGATAAACTTATATCGCGTTTTCGGGGTTCATGGTCGGAGTCTGGCGTATTCGAGACGCAGGTATACGCGTACATGAAAACGTTCCGGTTCACCGGCTCGCCTGCACTCTACATAGAGTGTGATGTTCGGATGTGTCATGGGAGGTGTCCTGTGAGTACTTCTAGAAAATTCTATCTATTCTATTCTATTTCTATTAATATATATCTGCTTAATGGATTTATATATTTATAAAATATATATATATATATATATATATACACTAGCTGACCATGCGAACTCCTTTCCGCCTCACAATTAAATATATCGAAGGTTTTTTGAAGTTTAGTTACGCTATAAATTTCTGAACGCACCCTGTTTGGGTGGGTGGTTTGTATGGGACAATAAATTTGTTGTTTTTACAACTTTACATGCAATTTATTCATATTTTCTCACCGTTTAAACCTTCTCTGGACTTCCGCGGATATTTCAAGACTAAAATTAGCCAAATCCGTTCAGCCGTTCTCGAGTTTTAGCGAGACTAACAAACAGCATTTCATTTTTATATATATAGAAAGATATATTGTGGCGACGATCGACAGCGTTGGCGGCCGATAGTCGCGAGATCGATTCCGCACCTGGCACAAACATTTGTATTTATGAGATTGACTGGTTTGTATCAGTCTGGATGTTTTCTTTGTGTATTATGTGTGTATTTGTAAAAAAAAAAACTATTTCTATCAGTTGCCTAGTACCCATAACACAAGATCTGCTTAGCTTGGGATGATGTGGCGTTGTGCGAAATGTTCAAGGATATTATTACATATTACCTTTTTTATATTTCAGTCGCAGCCGTGTCATTGGCGCAACATGAAGAGCGTCAGACGGCGGTCTGTGGAGGCTCCGCAACCGGCAAGCGTCGCGCCCCGACTTTCCGAGAATATCTCACTATTCCAGTCACTGCGGGTACTGCACGAAGGCGAAGAGGACGCACAATTCTCGTCTAACTCGAGTGAGTTTTTAAATTATTATAAAGGCAACATCTAGTTAGAATTAACAGCTTAATTTATATTCCTTTATAAATAATGATGTCAAACGTGTAGGTATACTTCTTGTGACATCTTATCTTTATTAGAAAGAAACAAAATATTGTTAGTTGAAATAGGTTTGAAAGTTTTCATTAATGTGAACACATGAGATTTTATTACACGAGAAACTATGATATTATGGCACTCAGAGGGTTATCGAATATTTATGACGATGATATGATATTAAAGATTTTACCATTACAAAATTGAGAAAAAAATTCCGAATTATACAAAAATATGCTATGAGGTAATATTTCTTTTTGACGATCGTAATGATGCTCTGTTGATGTTGATTGTTGATGATCGTGAGATTCTTGTAGAATACATACCTTTCGTTGTGTTTTCTATATATTTCCAAAAAAGTATTATATTTATCACTTGTTTAGTATCATAATTCTAATTTTGGTACACTGTTATATGTACGGGTCTATATACTATCGATATATATTTACTGATGTGTTTGTACAGGTTTGTCGTCAGACAACCAGACGTGCGTACGGACATCAGTGGTGTCGGCGCTAGCGGTATCGTGTGGCGCACTAGTGGCCGCGCTAGGTGGTGCGCTACTAGCGGCCGCGCGAGCACTACGCCGCCACCAGCGCGACGCTGCAACTAGCTCGCCACTACACGCCTACGTCCCACACAAGGGACGGATTAAGTAATGCCCGCTACGGACGACGCTAACCTACATCACCGCCATCAGTGCGCCACTGCCACTAGCGCGCTCCTGCATGACTACGTGCCGTACTAGCGGATTGTTAATCCCGCCTCGGACTGTACTATACCTATACATTGACACTTTAACTATGTTAGTTAGAATAGTGTGAGTTAACAGCGCATCATGGACTGTGACGTTTCCAACCGTGATGACCTGAGAACGTTACAGATGATTGCAAAGGAATAGAAAAGTGATTACTTGGTTCACAGGCTTGACTTCAGCTTGTATCAATTAAGCATGCTCATTTATTTATAACGTAATGTACTTAATACGGAGCAGTAATTAATTAATATTCGTATTTTTTATTTCCAATTTAGAGATTATTTTATAATGTTACGCTATTGATCACTAGTTTTTGTAGTATTTAGAAAAAAATCCTAAAGGAATCCAAAGTGATCACAACCATTTAAGAAATATATTTCTTGATATTCTTTTTAGTATTGGATAACTATATACCCAAATCAAGGAGATTATTTGACATTAGAATTAGAATACGTAAGCAAAAATGAAATGAAATTATAAATTTTCAATTTTATATTTGGGAAATATCATATATCAGTAAAAGCAAATTAACTAATTAATCGGTAACTATTACGTTGAGAGCGGTCGGTATTTGACAAATACAGCAAAGTTGGTATTGTTTTAATTGTTATTTATATATATGTTGTATTCTATTATACCACGTAGATACATTGATCAATATTAATTTATACATACCTGAAATTATTAATTTTTTTATGTGTCTACTGATACAAATTAAGAATAAAAAAATTACTATGTTTTTTTAAAACAGTAAACATGTAAACTACTGTGCGGTAGCATAACTCCGGTAAGAGACGGATGGTTCGTACCGATGATTTTGTTCGATTGTCACACTGGTTGATCCGCTCAGTGCTCTTTGGAAATGTGTCGGCACGGGCCGTCCGGACTGAACCTGACAATGTGAGATCAAGTTGAGATGTGTTTTACCTCCATGTTTCAGGAGTATATACTTTAGTACTTACTTCCTACTAATGTAATGTGCTGGTTGATTAAAATTTGTACGATTGTTACAAAGATATTAAAAAAATATATTCAATGTAGTCCTAATACTTATAAACATAGCTGGAACCTTAAATACACATAAAATGATTTTATAAAGTTGCAGCATCGTTGTTGTGTATTATTTATTAATAATGCGGCTTATAAATACATCAATAGGTACATATGTATTATTTGTTTGATAATTATAAATATATACGTATTTAATTTATTCATAGGCTGCATAATTATATATTTTTATTGTATCAAAATTGATTAATTTTGTTATTGACTTGAATATGATTATTTTTAAGAACAATACAAAAATATTATGGTTCACTTTTTATTACATTTTATTGCATATAAAACATATCTGTATTGCAACTCACAATAACGTAGGCAACTATTAAGATTAAATAGTAAGTATATGACAAATAGTGAGGACCCATATTTTCAGCGAAAATATATCTCCTCCTGTTTGTCTATTATAATTTAATGATTACTATACTTTATAAATATATTTATTAGAACTCAGTTACATCTCAATATTGTGATAAACATTTAAGTATAAAATATTAGCAGATTTATTTATTATTAACAGTAAGAACAGAGAGGTTCAAATTGTAAATATTGTGATAAGGTTCATTAGGTGCCCGACATAGTACCTATAATATTTTACATTTAATATTTAACATGTACATTAGACGTACAAACAATAGCTGTAGTTATATCAATTGAATAAAATATTAAAACTATTATAGTTATTAATAATACCTACTACATTCATGGACATTAGAATATTATTTGTCCACAACGTGTAAAATACTTCAAGGGGGTCTTCCTATGTGATGGGTTGAAAAAATCGATTTTTTTTTTTTCATAAATTGCTCCCTTATGTCTAGAATATATAAAGCGATTTTAGAAAATTCGAAGTCGTTTTAAAGATACAGCAGGTAAAAGAAAGGGCGGTTCGGAGCGGTGAGTTGGCAGTTAGAGACCGGGCCTATTGTGTACCGTATACCTGGCCTCCCTTTTATTAATATATTTGTTTATACAAGTTTAGACACGTTTCTACAGACTTAAACAGAAATTTCTATTGTTATAATATTTTAACGAAGTTATTTTAGTCTTGGTTGAACTTCGAAGAGAGCAACAGCTACAAATTATTTTTTTTCATCGCTTAGAAAGGAAGTTTGGGCAACGTACTATCACAAATGTTCTTCTGATGAAAACCCTCAGCTTCAATTTTGTCCAGAAGGCGTAGACAGTTGGTGTAAATGGCGTAAGGCTGAAGCTAATAATGAACTGGACCAATTTCATATAAACCACCTCTAATTCCGCAAGTCCAAGAAGCTATCAAACCGGTTTTCGAAGATTTATCGAAAGACGAATTATTAATTCGTTGTTTAGGAGCAGAGACACAAAACAATAACGAATCTTTGAATTCTTTGATTTGGACTTTCGCTCCTAAACATCTTCATTCTGGTCCCAAAGTTGTTGAAATTGCTAGCTACTTAGCAGTTATTATCTTTAATGAAGGTTTTCAAGGTATTTTAAAAGTTATGTCGATTATGGGATGCCCTGTTGGTCGTGAAGCCCAAGCGTATGTTGAGAAACGGGATGAAAAGCGAATCTTACGCTCTGAGCGGCGCGTAAGTGATGTCGTTAAACAAGCCAGGATTGACTCAAGAGCTGAACAATCTGCTTTAAAAGAGTTTCACGAGGAAGAGGAAGGAATACTCTATGGATCAGGCATCGCCGATTGAGAGTAAGTTGATATTTTAATAGTTTTTAAATACTTTAAACGCGTTTTTCTCAAAACTGTGTTTTTCAAACTTTCCTCCATTGTATCTCAGAAACGGCTGGACCGAATAACTTGAAATTTACAGGGCACACTCAATATATGTAAACGCATGGAATGAACTATTATCAATCGAAAATTTTCAAAACTTCGATTTTTTTATAGCAAAAAACAAAAAAAAAAACGCCTAATTTGCAACTTTTATTTCAAATGTCTATCAAAAATCCAATTTTTTTTATATTCATTTGATTATAGGTCATTCCGTGCTTTTAAGCCTACAAATTAAAACGCCGTTTTTTTTTTCAGATAAGCCGATCAGCCGGAATCGTGGAGGAAAAGGCGGGGGTGTTCAGAGCGCTATAACTCTAGTTTGACTGAATATTTTTAGCTGATAAAAAACTTGAAGCTCTAAATATTTACTGGTCGTAGAAAAAAAATCCTAAAATATCCCTAAAAAACAGGCCGTCACATAGGAAGACCCCCTTAAAATAGCTATATATTTAAATAGAAATGCGATATAACAGATGTCTGTCTATACATAAAAGATATATGAATAACTATATTAGGTTTAAAAAGTAAATCATAAACGTTTTGTACTAAAAACAATGATTCTTAGATTTCTGTTTGTTTGTGCGTTCGAACGCTCATAATTTTACTGATTATTGTGGTAAAGCTTACCACTGAAAATATTGTTTGTTTTATGATAGAATCTGTTTACAAATATGTTAACCGTTGAGTGGCCAGTTAGTATGAAAATATAAATAGTTTCTTTAAAAAATCAGGCTTAATCATTTTACTTTTTTTATAATAGCAATAGTATATTTGAAAATAGCCGCGTTAACGAAACTAGCCGATTAGAAAAAGCTAATGGAGTATATTTCTTTAGAATTGATTTACTTTTAAAACTAATTTACTATCCCTCTCTGACAAAGAAGACATTATTAAATTTTAAATAGTGTTACTAAATTAACGAATGTTAAGTAATAAAACCCTATCTAAAATTAACTCTTCTTAAATAAAACATATTTATTTAACAACATTAAATTTAATCAAAACAAAATTGCACACGAGTTACAATAAAATAAAACAATAGAATATAAAACACAACAATACAAATAAAAAAAAATTAAGTATTGTCATGAAAAAATCATTCTTATATAAAATAAAGCTTAAAAATAATAAAATCGATGATTAATTTCTCACTTACTATTATTTTGTGACAAAATACTGATAAAAATTGTTTCAAACCCAGATCTCTAAACTCGATTTCAATAATCTATGTTTGTACTATCATGGTGGGTAATTTTTGTAAAACGATCTCTAGATATTTTATGGCATCTTCCAATATTTGTACTTCACATTCCTTCAGTAACTTGACATTTTTCCTGAAATATCAAATATTTATAACAACATTAGGATGCCATCAATTATGACAATATTATGATATAGATATTTAGGTTAGAGTTTTCAATTTCGCCGGTGGAAGATGATAATAGACACCGATATATATATACATATAAGACTAGCAACACTTCGCAGAAGTGCGATTATAGTACACGATTAAATTTTAATAAAATATATTTTATACTTATTTAAATATAAAATATATATAGTAAATATTAGGATTATTTACTAATACATGATTAATTAATACAACATTAAAAAAATGAAACCAAATCAAATCTATTTTCTTTATAATATTTATATAGATATTAAGAAGGTTAAACTGAAACTGACGGCATCTGAAACGAAAACATGGCAGGGCATATAGCACGGGAATAGCGAATATGCATGACCATTACATTGCAAGTCATCATCTACATATATGTAGATCCAGGATAATATTATAAATGCAAAAGAGTGACTGTCTGAATGTTTTTATGAATAAGCGACTGAACGTATCTTATTAAAATTTGATGTGAATATAATTAAAAAAAAGAGCAAATGAAGTCGACCGTTACAAACAGTTAGGTACTCTGTTTGGTGTTGTCAATAATATTTCTGGGATAAAGTACTGAAGCGCTAACATATTATCAACTGCACCATATATTACCTGTGTGTAGACTCAAGTCCATTTTGTTCTATACCCGCATTGTTTATTTTATTGTACGAAGCGAGTATAAGTTCGCAACGTGTGAGAAGGTATTTGTACGCGCGACGGTCGATGTCAGCACCCACTGATTCGCTGCTAGTGGGGTCAGATGACACCAGATCGCTGGGCAAACCTACGCTTGACCACTTCGTTAGTTCATCTAAAAAAATAATATATTTTTAATCAATAAATAAGTATGTATCTGTACCATCTAACCTTTAATTAAGCAGAGTGTACATGTTAGTAAACAATTATCATGCAAAATAACATGTTACACCCATATAATATTGTTGCCATTCTAGAGAGTCAAGATGTCATGATGCCTATTTTGTAATTTCACTGCCTAATCGAACCCTACGGCCGAAACATAGGTTGCAAAATCACACACAGCATATCTCTTACAATCTATATCTAGTATAGAAAGCAAAGTATTTTAGCGACTATTCTCGATTTGACTACAGTTTTTGGCAACAAATATTCCAATCCAACATGCAAAGAAACAAACTGGTCGACTGCTGAATTAATTGGGGTTGTTCGCGGAGTAAACCATTCCCGAGAAATTCATAGAAAATAACTTCAAATTTACACACACACACACATTCATACCACCACGACTGTTATATGTTATAGATGGGGTAGTCAGAGTAGGTAGTTACACACACGCACACTTAATTTATCCAAAGTAAAAGCACACTCTGAGGAGATTTTATATATAAATTAAAATATAGACATATGATGTAACTTTTGACAAGTTTTATGGCTTATGCCCAGTTGCTTTAGTAGATTAATGGAATCTTCAAATGAACTGAAATTAAAAATTAAGTTAAATAATATTATTAGCGCATACAATTATATAATAAGTATTCATGATTATAAATTTATTATTGTATTATTAACGCTCTACTTCATAAATGGATTAGTACTTATGTGCTCTAGTCGTAGATATACTGAAATTCCTCACAACAACGATATTAAAGAAACTTACCTTTTACCTTAAGTTACCTTTTTCAAAGGCCATATTAGAGTTTTAAGATTTATTATTATTATTGTGATACCCGTACATAACCATACTATTGCCTTCTAATAATTTTGACTAATCTCTAGTAGTTAGCTAGGTAATTAGGTTACTTCCATTGTTTGGGGATTGAAATAAGATGAGCCACCGGATTTCATAAACGGCTTTTAACTTAATGCTTGCATATTGATATAGCTGATTAGTTAGGTATTTATATGTCATAGAAAATGGACGCCCGATTAAACGAATGCTGTTCCGACTTTGTTGTGAGAAGAGAAATAGAGGTTTTTAATGTATTTGCAACGGCAAATAAGCACTTTGAAACGCACTTTGGGTATTCCCCATGCGTTCTTATCCTTACTAATATTATAAATGCGAAAGTAACTCTGTCTGTCTGTCTGTCTGTCTGTCTGTCTGTCTCGCTGTAGAATCAGAGATATGGTTCGCGCAAGTAGAGGGATAGTTTGCAATTTAGAATATCACATCTATTATTTTGATTTAACAAAATTTTATTATGTTATTGGCCAACTGGACCACCAATTTTCAAAAGAATTTAAAGAAATGTTTAAACTGTTTATTATATATAAATAAATATGACATTTAAATTTGTAAATATCACATTGTCACCATTCAAGGGGTAAAATAAAATAGCAGATAAAAGTTTTTATGGAAATTCGTCATATTTGAAGCTAGAACGATGAAGCTTTTTCTTACGCTTTTTTGGGTCAGTTTATTTAATAAATACCTTACTAATATTATGAAAGTGAAAGTGACTCTGTCTGTCTGTCTTAAAAGCCAAAACTTCTGAACTGATTTAAATGAAATTTAAAGTCTAGATCTTGAGATAGGACATAGGTTACTTTTTAATGCTAAAAAGGGTTATAAGAGACTGAAAGAGAAATTTTTTAAAAGTTTAAGCTTCAATCTTATTTTTTTGCGTATTGATTAAATATAATTAACGAAAATGGGTTGTAAGGGTCAAAAGGGGAGTTAAAATGTTGTATGCATGTATTGTCATTTTTTAAAGCTAGAAACTTGAAACCCATTTTTTAGGCTGTTGAGAAAATATCAGTACCTACCGCCACAGGACTCAGCCATAAATGGTTACAGTATAGCGACATCTTATCATTGGTACATGATGACACTAATATAAGTAGCATTAAAAAAAACAAGAAAAAGGGTTATAAGGGGTTGAAAGGGGAGATGTAATGTATGTATGGTATGTATGGAAGTATCTTCATTTTAAAGATAGTAGTTTGAAACTTAGTTTTTGGCTGTTGATTGAATTGTATGGAATTATGTATGGAAATTTCATTTTTGAAGCTAGAACGATGAAACTTTTTTATTGGGTTAGATTATTAATATATATTTTTTATTATTTGCTCAAGGTCACTATTTTACGCGGACGAAGTCGCGGGTACAGCTAGTATTTCATAAGGCATAGTGCATACAATCATTTCACGGGCATCTTTAAGAAAGAAAGAAAAATATTTTATTCAGTACAATGTAAAAAATACAATATAAACAACAAACGAAAAAATTTAAGATTTTATTAAGATTTTTTTAGCACTCAACTTATAAAGTATGCTTGTTGGCGATAGAAATAGGTGAGAAAGAGTTACCTACACAGATGAATACAACAAAACTATGAATAAATTTTACCTTGATAAGTATATAAACTCGTAGTTTAGATAAAAATAAAAAGAAAAGAGATACTACGTAATAAAAAGTGTAATCATTAGATTCGAAACAGTTAATGTACCACGCATATCTAATTGAAGCATGAAGATGTCGTGTTTGTGTTGTAAAAGTGTTTAGAAAATATCGCTTCTTAGATAGAAAACCAATTAAGTACGTATCAGACCAAACGTTGAGAAGCGAATATGAATAAATTAATAGTGACCCAGTAAACCTAATAAATGCATTGTGTTGGTGGTGGAATCATTACAAGTACGTACATAAATAATATCACGGCTGTTTAAGGTCTCTAAGTCATTTGCGTTATGGGCACCAATATTTAGGATTAATAATGTCATTGTAAATTATATACTGATAGTAGCAGTTTTTATAAAAAAAAAGTATAATTATTTTAAGTGTTATTATAATAAAACAGATAAATTATAGGCGATTTTTTCTATCTTTATTATATTACTTGCTACACATTTTTTCTACTCTTATCATTATGCCAGGTCTCGTACGGGTAGGTAGAGAGTATTGGTGTCTAATCAGGTCTACTTTTACGTAAAGTTAATGATATTGGTGTGACGTTTATGAATGGGCTCTTATCTGATCATGACATGTTCGTCTAGATCTGTTTTTGTACTTATATCCTTTTACTTTCGATTTCTTCCGATACCCTTTCCACATAGGCAACATTTTCTTTCTCATTTTTAAATTGATAGTTTAATACAAGGCTTACCTTGATTCATGTTAAATATCCTTATAAAAGCAAGTAGCTCGGCGCTGACAGGTATATCACCACGGTACAGGTTATAGTGAGTCACGCTGTCAAGACCCAAGTTATTAAGTAGCGAGAGTTTCATCTCGCGCAGTGGGTCACTTGAGCTTATACCAAGTGATAGAGACAGACTATCCTGTTGGTTTTTCGGATATACGAAACTGAAATACAAAATAAACACCACTATTAATAATACACAACAATTACGTCATCAACCATCAATATGCGTTTTTATTAGGATAGAATTGTGTTTTGCAATCGTTTAACTCAGAACTTCTTTCTTTGAAGTTTATTAAATCGATTTTGATGTTTTGAAGTTTATGAAACCGATGCTGCTCGTGCGATCCTATATAAATTTAATAATGATCTGACGAGCAGTTTTCAGTTACTTGTCGATGTATTGAAATTGTTAAAGATTGAACTCTGCTTTATTTCATGAACAGGACATGTTTATTGTAATTGAAGAAGTTGTATTTTATACACTCTTTTTATAATTTTTAATTACATACCTTTGTAATATTTTTTCTATACAATAAATATTATGGTAACATAATTTTAGAGAAATCTTACGATCGATACGATGCACCAGGGAGGTGCATTAATTGTCATAAATATGGTATTTCATAATTATTATATTTCTTTCAATATGAGCTTGTTCCTTGTAGTTAACTTAAGTAGGTTATTGGTTAATTCGGTTGTAATAGTTAGATATTAATGTAAAGGCATAAAGTTTACGGATGGAGTAATTCGATTCCTCGCACGACTTAAATTGACATATGTATTCATGAGTATAAATGTTTGTATTGTTCTGGGCGTTTTCTACGTATATTATGTAATCATTTACCAAAATAATGTACCTAAGTATTTCTAGCAGTTGTCTAGTACGTATAACAGTAGCTCCTTTTATGTTATGACTAGATGGCTGTGTGTGAATTGTCCAGGGTTATTATTATTATTTAATCCAGCAGAACCATTACAATTTCAATGGATTTCTTTTTATTCTTACTAAGAAACTTCTGTGTAAAATATATAATGGTCTAGGCAAAAAAAGAATCTCTCAGATGTTGATCAAATAGTGATATTGCCTAATAATTAAAAATTATATAATACAACGAACCGACTTTACCGGGGCCCTGACGAGTATGATAACTTACAAGTTTAAATTTAGGTTAATTCAAATTGAATTATGAAATCTCGTTCAAATTTGTCGAGACATTTTGTCATGATGACGAAACAGATACATATAATTATATTAAAATGACAAATTTGGTTTCTATTTATTTTTGTCATTCATTCATTCCATTTATTTTTCTATTATAGTACAGTTTTGACATCGCAACGTGACTATTACGTGGAAAGAACTATGTTACATACAGTAATTATAATAAGAACTGCAAGAAATAGGACGCTCTCAATTTCTACAATTTTACAATAAGAAAATTATTGAATTCATATTACTGTTTTTAATAAAATATACACTCTTAGAGTATGCTGCCATTAATCTGTACTAAACTTCGGAATGTTCCTAAATAAAGGTAAGTTTGGTGTCATTTTGCTTACTTTGAGGTATTAGTGTGCTAGACGTTCTTCCGTAGGCGAAATCGTTATTCCATTCTAAAATACAGTGCACTATCTATTTTTATTTATTTATTGTACGGATTCCAACAGAACAATCCAACAGAAACTTACCCATTGTGTAAGAAAAGATCAACGTTGGATCTTGCACCGTAGAATATGAAGATCTGCTGGCCCTGTTGGAACTCGCGAAGGGCATAGCACTCACTTCTATTTAGCTCCTTGTTATAGTCGGTCGTGATCTAAAATGTAGATTAATATTAATCAATGATGTGCTTTTGCAGAAAATATTAGATTTTTTGGAAATAATTTATAAAGCTATTGTTATTTCAATTAATATGTAAAATAATATAAATCCATATAAAAATTAATATTCTCAATGGCCGAGCCCAGAATTTAATTTCTATATCTATATTTTAAGCCCTTAACAAAATCACTTTGCCACCTTTTTTGACACATAATAATATATCTTTATGACATACCTTTCCGTGTTCATGATTGCACATATCCCATAGGGGTATGAAAGAAGTGACGTCACAGTTATCCATCTGTATCATGTTCTGCCGCGTCATCACGGTGGACACCGCCCATCTGTCAAACAGTCATAAACTTACTAAATAATAGGAAAGAGTGATACAGAGAGATACAAGAACATCCCTAACAGTTTTTACGGAGAGTTTTGAGTGGGTCAATAGGTATTTAATTTATGCAACAAGCAACTGACGCCCGTTCCAAGTAACTACAATCCATATAAAGGCTGTCCCATAAGTCGATGATAAATCGGATGCAGGAGAAAAAATAAGTCAGCTATTAGGAAAATATATATAACCGAGCAAACTTACAATTTATAGCAACAAGGTAGAAATGAACATCATAAGCTGCTGAACATTAAGTTTTTTTTAAATACCTAGTTATAGTTTCATAGCCACTGGCTCAAGATTTTTATTTTTTCTGATATCTCTGATGATTTCTTCAATCTCGCGGTTTCGGTTTATCTAGTATTAGTATAACTGGTTAACGAATATCTAAGTATATATAAAATAGCTTTGATCAAATACGATTTGAAGTATCGTCACAGAAGATACTTTCTAACTTAAAATCTTAATATTAATTTACATGTAATATTATATCACCTTTAAATATATTAAGTTAACATTATAATTGATTGAAAGAATTCTGCTTAAATTATATCCACTATGACAACATGTCAAAGTTACGAATTGGTGTAAAGTTCAGTAATCCACACATCGCTGTCTAGTCCCAAACTAAGCAGAGTTTGTTCTATGGGTACTAGACAGCTGATATTCTTAATCACTTTATTTTATAAGTAAATGTAATAATATACATTACATTCAGACCAACAACTATTGAAAGTAAGACGGCTAAACCTCTAACCAATGAGGCCGATGAGATAACAAGTACTAAATTAAAAGTTTAAACAAATGATACATTAGCACATCCAAACATTCCTTCCAAAGCAGGTGAAAAAACCACGTCACAATGATGAAGAGGTTTCATTTAAAAACTAAGGACCATACTCATTAAAAGAGGCTTGCAACTGGTCCACCATTTTTTAAACACGGAAAGATGATAATGTTACAGACAGATACATAGACACGCAGACAATAGTTTTAAACTTATAACAATCCTCTGTTTGTCTCTTCCTGATCCGTCATCAGACTGGTCATCAGCGTTACTGCTTTATGATTATATGCTCACTCCTTATCACCGTTCGTCTAGTAACAATTGGTTGAGATTAATCCAATTACACCACACACACCTTCCGGTTTACTCTGGAAATTAATTCCGCTCCATTGACATTGGATTGCGTCGTTTCGTAACTTTTTATTCGTTTTGATTATGAAAAATGGATTGTATGGAAATTGATGCTGACTAAACTCAACACTCCAGAGTCGACCTGCTGTATACTATCAGCGGGTTGGGTTTATCAGCAGACTATCCTGTTTACAACACATCAGATTATGGTTACCATTTATTTGGAAGCCATGATTTATGTCTTTAACTCCGACAACTAAGAGTGATCTGATTTCCTAACATATAATAGTTGATATTTTAACTACATTTGTAAAGTGATTACAAACGGCTATTTCAACTAACTACATTAATCAAGGCCAAAAATTCTTTAGTAAGTTATAATGATGTTATATGTAATGTATATCTGTGGTAGTTGTACTGTTTTTGTCTATAGTCGACAATCACTACTTTTTATCAAGGGGGCTGTCTATATGTTTGCTTTCCTCGTATTATAAAAAAAGTAAATTAGGTGTAACAGATCAGGTCATATGGAACCGAATAAAATTTCTTAAAAAGAGCTTAGGTGAATTATGTAATTAGTATAGGATAAATATTTATATGCTGTGTCGTCATAAATTTTTTTAACTCGATAATAATAATGCCATTAATGAAATAAAGTACCAAAAATATTATTTAGCAATTAAAAAAGTTGGTTCATTGTTGCTGCCCAGCTGCTAGCACTTGTCTCACAAGGGCTTTGCATTATACAACAATAGATATATGTAACAAATGGAATTTTACTTTCATACGATTACACGAATCTCAACTTCAAACATCCTATTGTTTGTTTGGAGACAATCCCAGGTTTCTACTTTCAATCCTATTATATCACATTAGTTATTGAATTAAATTGGAATATTTTATCGGCTGTATGGAGATACATTTCTCCGGCGGCGATCAGATAATTTACATACTTATGAATGCGAGTACACTTTCTACATCATCATACATATAATAAAATCGTAAACAAGTCTGTACATTACATATGTGTCAATAAAAAATAGACTTATACCTATGTCAAATCAATATATTTTGTTCATGTAGGTATATATAGTAATATGTCCGTAATTATAACAATAGCATTTTATTGTGGACGTTAAGAGGCCTTTCACATTTTTTGGCCTAAAAGCAGTGTCTTTGGGGTTCTGGTTCTAAGAAATTAAGAGTCGGATATACATTTTGATTCCTGAATTATATAGATAGATATCTAATCTTAAAAACAACATCTTTGAAATGTTAATTTTCTCTTTGTTAGTCTTCCTAATTTCTAAAATAGTTTATTCAAAAACACTAAATGACAGAAGTTTGGGGTCGTCGTTCATTAATAAACAAACATAAATTGATATGATATCTTTACTAAAACTTGATAATTACTTTATAAATTGAGACAGCATCGTCCTTTTTTTCATTTTCAACTTAAATATCTAAAAAATTGATCATAATTAAACCCGAAATTTCAACAAAACTTTGCCACAATCATTTCTAATTTTCTCATAAATACAACGAAATTTTTGCATAAAAAAAACATAATAATAAAGTTAATATACTTGTAAATTAGAAATATGAAAAAAAAATATAAGTTTCTAAGAAAAAAATAAACAATAATAATAATTTAAAGTTGTATAAATTCCGTTGCGCTAAAAGTAAATTCTCAGTGCTGCGCTAGCGCTCGTCGAGGTAGGACCTATGCCATTTTTTACAACACCGCTAAGATAAGACATTCGTCAGTGAACATTAGTATAGAGCGACTAAACCATTTTGATAATTTAAGTAATATTTAATTAATTTTGCTAATATATACTTATTTCTACGAATATTAATTTAAAGTTGTTGTTAAATATATATATATATATAATATTTATTTTAGCATGCCAAGACAAAAGTACAGTTATGCTACAAATAAAACCTACCTACCCTGCTGGACTATGAAAAGCACAAGAGCATGGTATTTCGTCACACTAATGGCAATTAATTGTTAAAATTAAAAAAGAGAACATTTTAGTATTTTTAAAAATAACGCTTATCTGAGAGAAAAATGTAAGAAAATGTAAACCAATTTTACTCTATGTTTATTTTGTAGTTTTTTTCTAAATTAAAATAGGGTTATTGTTTATAAAAATACCATTATTATTTTTACGTACATTTGTCTTGTGTTATATAGTGTATATCATCCAGTATGCAATGTGGATTGTAAATAAATTACCAAATTATATATAAATTATATTCCTTAATGTTTAGAGATATTTTATCCAATTTTATTTTATTTTACACAATACAGATATTTCTAAATTGCAGCTATTCTGTTATTATACTCGTTGGACTTTCATTACTGTACAGTTATGTCAAATAATTATGCGTGTTTGGGTGAAAAGTCAACAACATTATAAATGTTTTTATTTAGAGACTAGCTTTTAGCTCGCAGCTTCGCCCGCGTGAATATGGGATATATAGGTTATCGCGCGTTTAAAGATCCGTGTACAGTATTGGGACGTTATATATAAACCTTCCTCTTGAGTCTATCTATTCTGTCTATTAAATAACAACGAATCAAAATCTGCGTAGTTTTTTAAGATCAAAACATACATAGATCTATTACATGTGTAGATGATATTTTAACCGGAAATTGAAGCCGTTAAAATGGTATTGGCAGATCAGTTGGAATCATCGGTATTCTTGGTATATAAGCTGGTTGCCCAGCTAACGTACCGGTTATAATGGTCTACAATTAAATTGTCTTTCAATTTTTTAGCAAGCAATATATCCAATGGGACGCCATTGCACATGTTCGGCGGGCTTAAATTTCATGACTGGATCATGCTTTTGAGAAATTCCTTCCTCAAGTTTGAGCATTTAGTGTGGGAAATCACTATCTGTGCTTCCATAAAAATGAGCACTCAAATTTGTCAGTAGTTTTAAACTTTCAATTAAAGTCCATAAGGGAGACGAAGTTAATGACACAGAGAGTCTTTCAGAAATCTCCAGCCACCGTATAAAAGTAATCCCGCCAATGAGAGCAGAGGTGTTTCTAAGGTCTTTTAAGGTTCTGTCCAAAATCTCTATAGCTCATGGTGATTTCATTACATATAATCAATGAGGCGTCTTATAATAATTTATAAAAAGGTTTGACATTAACAATTAATTATTTATCAAGAATCAAGAATCGGCCAACCAAGAACGAGAAGCTGCAATATCAGCCAATATCATGCGGCGACGTCAATGATGCAGGAACAGCAATGATAGCAGTTGAAGCTTTTTTTTTACAACTTAGAATGGCAAACAAGCTGACGGCTCTTCTGATGGAAAGGGGTAACCGTCGCCTATATACATGAGCAGTACCTGCCATGTTCATATCAGCACATTGTTTCCCTCATGCGTTGCCATTCCTGAAAACTCGGGTGTTATTCCCCTGTACCTTGTAAATTCACTACCATATATATACACAGGTAGTCTATATAGATAGATATACATATACACAGATAGTATACCCTGAGAAAGGTCATAGACTACTTTATAGTGCGAAAAAAGTATTGTAAGGGATTAAAAGCGGAGATGAAAGGTTGTATAAAAGTATCGTCATTGTTTAATTGAAACAAAGAAACTTTTTTAGGTTATAATCTAAATATATTTCCTTTATTTGGTCAATTTCATTATACCACGCTGACGAAGTCGCGGACACACCTAATATACATATAAGGATGGGACCTTTAAATCAAAACAAAGCCTTGAAAACACAACTATTATATATAAATAAAATAATTATTTGCTAAGTATAATAT